GTAACGTAAAGTGATCAGTGTAACATACAATGATGTGTAACGTAAAGTGACCAGTGTAATATACAGTGATGTGTAACGTAAAGTGACCAGTGTAACATACAGTGTAACATACAGTGATGTGTAACGTAAAGTGACCAGTGTTACATACAGTGATGTGTAACGTAAAGTGACCACTGTAACATACAGTGATGTGTAACGTCAAGTGACCAGTGTAACATACAGTGATGTGTAACGTAAAGTGACCAGTGTAACATACAGTGATGTGTAACGTAAAGTGACCAGTGTAACATACAATGATGTGTAACGTAAAGTGACCAGTGTAACATACAGTGATGTGTAACATAAAATGACCAGTGTAACATACAATGATGTGTAACGTAAGTGACCAGTGTAACATAGAGTGATGTGTAACGTAAAGTGACCAGTGTAACATACAATGATGTGTAACGTAAAGTGACCAGTGTAACATACAATGATGTGTAACGTAAAGTGACCAGTGTAACATACAGTGATGTGTAACACCAGTGTAACATACAGTGATGTGTAACGTAAAGTGACCAGTGTAACATACAGTGATGTGTAACGTAAAGTGACCAGTGTAACATACAGTGATGTGTAACGTAAAGTGACCAGTGTAACATACAGTGATGTGTAACGTAAAGTGACCAGTGTAACATACAATGATGTGTAACGTAAAGTGACCAGTGTAACATACAATGATGTGTAACGTAAAGTGACCAGTGTAACATACAGTGATGTGTAACGTAAAGTGACCAGTGTAACATACAGTGATGTGTAACGTAAAGTGACCAGTGTAACATACAGTGATGTGTAACGTAAAGTGACCAGTGTAACATACAGTGATGTGTAACATACAAGTGAACAAAGTGACTGTAACATACAGTGATGTGTAACGTAAAGTGACCACTGTAACATACAGTGATGTGTAACGTAAGTGACCAGTGTAACATACAGTGATGTGTAACGTAAAGTGACCAGTGTAACATACAGTGATTTGTAACGTAAAGTGACCAGTGTAACATACAGTGATGTGCAACGTAAAGTAATGTGTAAAATAAAGTGATGTGTAACATACTGTGATGTGTAAAATAAAGTGATGTGTAACATACAGTGATGTGTAACGTAAAGTGATGTGTAACATACAGTGATGTGTAACATAAAGTGATGTGTGTATGGTGAATTACGAGTCCATGTACATCTGCAGATCTTCAGATGGGTACAAAACGTTTAAGGAAACGCTATATGAAACGTCGTGGTTGTGGTCAGTACCAGTCAGCTCGTGTATGCCCTGGTTACTGTCAAACATCGTGGTTGTGGTCAGTACCAGTCAGCTCGTGTATCCCCTGGTTACTGTCAAACATCGTGGTTGTGGTCAGTACCAGTCAGCTTGTGTATCCCCTGGTTACTGTCAAACATCGTGGTTGTGGTCAGTACCAGTCAGCTCGTGTATACCCTGGTTGCTGTCAAACATCGTGGTTGTGGTCAGTACCAGTCAGCTTGTGTATCCCCTGGTTACTGTCAAACATCGTGGTTGTGGTCAGTACCAGTCAGCTCGTGTATACCCTGGTTACTGTCAAACATCGTGGTTGTGGTCAGTACCAGTCAGCTTGTGTATCCCCTGGTTACTGTCAAATATCGTGGTTGTGGTCAGTACCAGTCAGCTTGTGTATCCCCTGGCTGCTGTCAAACATCGTGGAATGGTCAGTACCAGTCAGCTTGTGTCACCATGGTTACTGTCAAACATTGTGGTTGTGGCCAGTACCAGTCAGCTTGTGTATCCCCTGGTTACTGTCAAACATCGTGGTTGTGGTCAGTACCAGTCAGCTTGTGTATCCCCTGGTTACTGTCAAACATCGTGGTTGTGGTCAGTACCAGTCAGCTCGTGTATCCCCTGGTTACTGTCAAACATCGTGGTTGTGGTCAGTACCAGTCAGCTTATGTATCCCCTGGCTGCTGTCAAACATTGTGGTTGTGGTCAGTACCTGTCAGCTTGTGTCACCATGATTACTGTCAAACAGGCACAGTGACACAAATATGTCACCCCCACATCCGCACTTACCCAACCCCACCCAACTGTTTGGTGGTGCAACAATATATAGGTCTTGACCTGCCGCTGTTAGGAAGCGATACAGGACATGATGTATCAGTTTCATACAAAAGTCAGCTGTACACAACCATGACACACAGATAATCGTATCCGGGTCACAGCACGTCACGCTGGACAGTCGTGTGCAATGTGCAGTTCATATGATCTAGCTTGTATAAACAGGTGGGACTGAAGCAGGTACTTGTTCTGACGAATACCCTGTTTCGTATTAACGATGATGAGACACTCCAGTATAATCTCTTGCCAAATCTTACAAGTTGAACTGTTTTCCACATATAAGAGACGGTACAGTTGGATAGATTTTGTCATTTCAATATTTTCAATACGATAAGGAGTGAGTGAGTGAGTGTAGTTTGAGGTCGCGTTTAGCAATATTCCAGCAGTATCACGGCGGGGGACACGAGAAATAGCCTTAACACACTGTACCCATGCGGGGAATATAACCGGGATATTCACCGTAACGAGCGAACGCTTTAACCACTTGTCTACCCCACCGCATATATAAGTAGAGAGAACATGTGCGATGTCATAACGTGTCAACGGGAACGTATGTCGTAAAAATGTACTTTACATCCAGTTGAAATGGGTGTGTGCTTGGCAATGTCTGTTAGACTTTCATTTTCGAGTTCTGTTTGTTCTGCGATGTACGCTTGTCGACATTTTGTCGATCTTGTGTCGGTCTCAAATCTAATAAATGTATTTTCCCTGAACATCATATGTGCTTTCAATAATGCTAATTTGTTTTACACCTCCCCCCACCCTACTTCGAAATATTTAAGGATGTCAGCGTGACCGTGTAAGTCTTCTTGCCTGTTCACGTTTTGTCGAAATAGCATGTTCACCGTGAAAGGTCAATTTATCACCCGATCATTAAAGGTGTCATATGCACACAAAGTAATTTTAGGGATTGGTCGTCTAGAGTCGCCCACCGCAGCGATAACTCATTCACTAATGCTGAGGTTGTTTCCAAGTTTAATTCTGACGTCACGCTGCATGACTGACATCACCGGGTGTCCCCGACACTGGTCACGTGACGGTGTCGCAAGCTACGTTATCTACAGCCGTTCATTCAGTCAGGCAAATACCCCGTGTAGTATACACGCGCAGGAATGTACGATAATACCCACAGGTATGACGGTATCACGGCGGTATATGCATAACCTAGACAGGTAAGGGAAACTGTATAGACAGTGAAATCATGTTTAATTATATTTAGAAAACAAGCCTCACGTTGAAAGTATTCAGTATTCAGGTCTGAATTTCATGTCCGTATAACATCCTTTCAATGACCCACAGTGGTGTCGAATGTGTGAAAAGGACCGAACTGTTTGAGCTTAAGTAACCCGCTCTGTGCTTCATACTTGGAGATGTATCTGTATAATCTCCCTGAAAAACACAAACAGTAATAAACGATCTAAGGTAGATTCGTGGTTACAGTGTACAGAAGATAGGGGAGTGGCGGCAGATCAAGTCCCGTCGTTAGTAACCTCAGGATATTACCATCACTGATGCAATTTTAAAGTTTGGTGTTGGGGTGAAGATAGCTTTGGGGAAAGGGGATGAGGAGTAACGTGTCACCTGTAATAGATATTGTTATAATGGCACACGACACATCTGTATTGAACACGTGTGTTGATGGCCATATCGCTCTTTTCCTCATTTATAGCGATTGTCTATCACTTCCCGGAGGCTGACCTCTAAATATAACACAGGTAGCCAGTTGCAGGTAGTGTCCTGTTGATAGCGGTGACAGGTGTTACCCCAGGTATGTCGGACAATCCCAGCCACAGATATACACAGCATGTCAATATTGTCATGACAACGTAGGACTGGCTACTTGTTAAAAGAAGAAACTCGCACTATGTATATCAGAACTGTCTAGACTTTTTGGGATGAACGTGCAAGATTACATCTTTTATAAACATAACTGGTACATGTGAAAAGGTACCTGTCGCCAGCTGAGTGAGTGAGTGAGTGAGAGTGAGTGAGTGAGTGAGCCTCACTTCCCCTAAACTGAGTCATTATTGCATTAACCACTAGACTACGATTAACACACGTGCTGCGCGAATGCACATGCACTTTGCATATATGCATTCTATCTGCGTTGGCGTGGTTGCTATGTGATCAATCTATGATGCTAACTTGAATTTATAATCAGTCACTCGTTAAGAGAAACATATGTTCATTTAAAATCTCATTGTAGGATATAAAATGATCATGAATCTATTACCGGGACAATTATTAAATAATATCAGATTAAAATGGATGAATACATCAAAAACTGCGTTACATATGTTATATTTGGGATTACACATTCTCAGTATAGTACAGATTCTAGTATTATTGTTGGGTTGAATGCCATTCGGGATTGGAGCCCACACCCCGAGACTCTCCCAGTGTTAATTGAGACTGGGAGGTACCAAACCTTAGGCAATAAGAACAACGGGGAGTCCGACAACTTGGTATCGAGGTGCATGCGTCTGATATATACGTGTTAAGGTGCCTATATAGACACGAGCCCACACGTCCGGTACAATAGTTTTCACAGGATATGTATATAAATAGTATTCTGGTGACGTGAACATATATACGCTTCGGTCATACCCACGTGTATACGTGTGATTACCCTATCCTTGACGTATCTACCTATTACTGAGGAATTAATAACTGTCAATATTTGGCCTGAGTCTGTGATATACAGCCTATGTACTTAACGTACAGTTACACTTCCTAAAGTCAAACGTAATAGGCTTCGAGTGTGTTTCATGGCACAAGTGATCATTTCCTCTCAATACACTCAGTATGTGTCACTGGAAAAGCAATGTATGAATACAACCAACGATGTCTGTTTAACACCTTTTTTGTGTTTCAGGCCATGCGATAACACCACGTGTTTGGAGAACAGCCGGACATCATGATTCCTGCCATTGAAATGGAAACATTCATGACGATGAACACCAGTACTCCAGACTCTCTCGGTGCCACCTCATTGCCGTCAGACAACACCTCATCCAGCGACTACGACTACAAGCACGACGGCCATGCACTATTCAAATGGCACGGCTCAGAGATACTCTTCCTTGTAATAATATTCCTGGTGGGTACGGTGGGAAATGGCCTCGTATTGTACATCTACCACATCCGGTGGAGACGCTCCAACTTTACCTTCTTCATCAAGGTCTTGGCGGCCATAGACTTCTTCAACTGTGTTGTATCAGTGCCGATGTTTTTTGTGATGACAGTAGACGGCAGCCATTCGGCGTTCGCCCCGCTGTGTAAGACGACATCGTTTATAGCAATGTCCAACGCCGTGTCGTCAGCTGTGGTCCTGACAATAGTTGCCTTTGACAGAAACAGGAAGATCCACAGACCACTAAAGCATGAGATTCGTGAATCCACTACACGTCAGCTGGTGGTGATCGCACTAGCGATTGGACTAATAGTGTCTGTGCCTGGTGTCTTCACGTTTGGAAGTAAACGTACTCGTTATAGCGAGGACGGTAGGTTATTCAACATCACATGGTGTTTCTTCTCGGACGAGAAACTAGGCACTACCCTGGTGTACGCCTATGTTGGGGTGCTAGGTGCCGTGTTCATGGTCATCATGGTTGCCATGTCGACTCTGTACTTTTCGATCTGGAGAGCACTTCGGGTTCATCTACAGAGGCGGGAATCCCTTGGGTGCCACAGGTCTTCCATCGGCATGACCAAAAACGGAAACTACTACAGATCTCAAAAGACTACAGCTAAGCTATTCTTTATCATAACTGTGGCATTCTTTGTGAGTTACTTCCCCTATTATATCAGCATTGCAGTATTCCTCATAGATGATTACAAGCATCAGTTGACATCGTTGACGAAAGCTTTCGCCGACATTGCCAAACTTGCGCCATTGGCGAGTTGTGCTATAAACCCTCTAATATACAGTATATCCTCGGCTCGATTCAGGCGGGAGATTGCCCAGATCTTTAAACGTGCCGGGCGAACGTCTGAAGCGAAAAAGAAGATTTTGTTCAACTCACTAAATAGCCAGGAACAAGCCGGGCAGCTCAAACTGAAACACTCTCGCTCACAGTCGGGCTCGTCATTTGGACTTAAGTCAGTCTCAAATGATCAGATTGTGTTTGGAAAGATCAACATTCCTGGAACTGATAAACAATCGTACTCTTGAACTCCATATGTGACTTAAGTGATATGCAGCCTTCTATATGTATTTTTCTACAGTGGACAAGACCAAAGCCAGTTGTTGCCTTCTTCCCTCATCTCCAAACAAAGGGGACGATTCTCTGTGTGTTCATTCGCTGTGTTAAAGTGACATCTGAAAATAATATCCACCATTTAAAGGTGTGCCGGGGAATTTAACGAATCCCTATTCAATGAGCTAAGCCAAAGGTAACATTGCGACCTCGGGGAAGTAGGAGGCGCACAAATATTTGTTTTTCTATTAGCCTATGAAATATCTAATGACACAATATCTCACATGTCTTTTATCAAAACCGTTCCCAGTGTTTACATGTGTTGAAGTTAATTTTTCAATTTTAAATATTTTCTCTTTCTTTGAACATGGATGCTTAAATGTTTGAAACACATTCCTCACCATGTCTAAGAGGTACGATATGATTGGTTAGAATGTTAGCTATTTGTCAGCAGCTCACACTGGCGGTATGTTGATCCGATGGTTATATTCAGACTGACGATAACACGGCGGACCGTCGGTCACATCCAGTATGCTGGCATACATTACGTCCTTCCAGGATGACCAACACACATATTTTCATTTTACATGTGTTTTCTATCACGTGTCAGCTTCATATAAAATCTCTTGTTTCATGTTTTGTTACTTGTCATTTATGTCACAATATGAACATCTATAGCTGTTGCTTCAATATATGGAGTGTGGCAGCTCAGACTATTGGTTTACGCAGTTGACAACGATATCAAAACTCTGTCACAGCAATATCACAGAAGTATTAAAGCACAGCAATATCACAGAAGTATTAAAGCACAGCAATATAACAGAAGTATTAAAGCACAGCAATATCACAGAAATATTAAAGCACAGCAATATCACAGAAGTATTAAAGCACACCAATATCACAGAAGTATTAAAGCACAGCAATATCACAGAAGTATTAAAGCACAGCAATATAACAGAAGTATTAAAGCACAGCAATATAACAGAAATATTAAAGCACAGCAATATCACAGAAGTATTAAAGCACAGCAATATAACAGAAGTATTAAAGCACAGCAATATCACAGAAGTATTAAAGCACAGCAATATCACAGAAATATTAAAGCACAGCAATATAACAGAAGTATTAAAGCACAGCAATATAACAGAAGTATTAAAGCACAGCAATATCACAGAAGTATTAAAGCACAGCAATATCACAGAAATATTAAAGCACAGCAATATCACAGTAGTATTAAAGCACAGCAATATAACAGAAGTATTAAAGCACAGCAATATCACAGAAGTATTAAAGCACAGCAATATAACAGAAGTATTAAAGCACAGCAATATCACAGAAGTATTAAAGCACAGCAATATAACAGAAGTATTAAAGCACAGCAATATCACAGAAGTATTAAAGCACAGCAATATCACAGAAGTATTAAAGCACAGCAATATCACAGAAGTATTAAAGCACAGCAATATCACAGCGGTGTCCACGGTATCACAGCAGTGACAGAGACGTTATAGTGAGTGAGTGAGTTGATCACAAGCGTGAACGAAAAACACGGTGGAAAAACACGGAATGCCGAACGACGCGTTAACCTCACGTAGTCTGACGTAGAACACAGTTCGGGACAGGCAACTCCATGTGAAGCCGGAGTGCTCTATAGAACGCCGTCATGGTGTAATTGAAGGGCATACAAGTTAAGAGTTAGTTATAGACGCACAAAATCATAAACAGTTGTCCGCCGTTATGGCCATTCAGCTTCGGTCTGCGTACTGAAGAAAACATAGTTCTGTTTGAAAACAGTTATGCCAAACTATTTAGCAAACTTCAGCTCCTGTGTTTAAATCTGAAGCATGTCCTGCCCTACCGGGACACCCGACACCAACACTAGGGGAGGCCTTGTTGGAGGTGAAGCAGCCATTGTTAGAGATAAATGACCATCATTGTTTCTTCTTATTATAGATAACCCTTATATTTGTTTGTACCCATGAAGATCCGGGTTAGAATTGATCTTCAGCGACCCATGCTTGTCGTAAGAGGCGACTAAAGGGATCGGGTAGTCAGGCTCGCTGACTTGGTTGACACATGTCATTGTATCCCAATTGCGTAGTTGGATGCTCATGATGTTGATCCCTGGATTGTCTGGTCCAGACTCGATTATGTACAGACCGCCGCCAAAAAGGTGGAATATTGCTGAGTGCGGCGTAAAACTAACTCACTCACTCACTATATTTGTTTGTTCTGGTCTTAAATGGTGTGTTCCCTGAACTGGACACATTCCATCAGAATGTAGAGACTGTGTGTGTAGTCTGTGCCTCCATATCTTACCTTGTGCCGTGTCTGTATACATTCCCTCAGTTGCAGTCATTTAGTGCCCTCTGACATCTAGACGACCATTAATTAAACTTGAAAAGCTGTATCACTTTTCATGTCACTACAAGGTTTCTTTAATATTAATATAACATTTCGGAAAATGCTATTTTGTTACATATGACCTCTCAAACACATGACATGCTATAAACAATGGGCTGTTGACGATTTTGATTATGCCTTGTGTCCAGACAGATGGTGCTGTTGTTTGTGTGAATCGCCCGACAAAGGCCAGTTGCAGGAATAGTGTCCAGAGGGTTTATCTCCTTTCATGTACCCGGGGCTATTGTAGTGACCAGGTGCTTATTTCTCGCTTGCCCTTTTTCACCATCGATTTCTGTGTCCATCCCATTCATCAAACCTCATCCACTGAACGCCTAAAGGTTGTTGGGTTCCTGTGATATTCTTTGAAATAACTGCATGAAAGGCTATGGGAAATTTTAATTTCCTTTTATCGAATGACATTAGAGACATGTGGGACAATATAAGCTTCCCCTTGATTAGACCTGACAATGTATTATTCTACGGGGGGGATGGTGTGACTGCGATGCCGCCTTATCCAGGCGAAACTATCAGCAGAGAGAGAGAGAGAGACACACACACACACACACACATAGATTATACCCTTTTTTGTTGTGATTGAATATATTTTATTCAAATGATTGTGTAGGTAGGAATTATAACAACCAGCTCCTGGTCAGGGGACTGTGATTAACATCTTCACCTTTTCTGTCAAGGAAATGGTTGAACCTTATACTTCACATGTTTGACGGAGAGACAATGGCGTTGTACCATCACTCACCTACTTCGCCGGAACAAATGAAGGTGTAACCGATGTGAAACATGTCGTAACAACATACTACGTGATTGTCAGCTCAACCTATCTATATTCATGATATAAACTCGTTACGAAAGATAATGGTAGTCTCACATTTCAGGCGAGGGTATTTTTTAAATTCTCGTCCTAAATGGTGAGCATAATTAAAGTGAGTATGTTGGGAATAGATACACTTGAATTCTTAATGGAGGTATTGGATGCAAGGATCCCCTGATAGCAGCAGATTATACTACAGGTGAACACGACTACAGTCTCTCAACTAGCCGGTCCTGCCCAGTAGCCCTATGCCGACGCAGCCCAGCAGCAGATTGTATAAACAGCTACAGCAGCTGGCCGATGTATGGTTGTCCTGCATGGTGTGTACAGTTGTTGCTCAGAACGTACATGCTGGCACAGGGGCGTGTCACGCTTAGAAACAACGTTAGAAAGACATAAAGGTTTATAGACCATACCCTAGTACTATATAAAAGGAAAGGGATGTAACGACGGAACCACCCCCTCCTCAATCAAAGTTAGATTTCACCACGTAAACTATTTATATAGCCCGTCGATGCCAACGGATCGAAAGCGAGATGATTTCCATACAAAATCAGCTATAAATGGTCACAATCGGATCATTATTTCAAACGTTATACGCTACGACTCACAGAAAACAGCTACCTCCGCAATTCCAAGCCAAAATCATGGATCACCCAAGACAGCGAAAAATTCATTTATTAATTCCAGCCACGTTGACAGCACCTATGTAGGGCTAGATTCGATCGGCAGCGGTATTCCACGGGTCTAAAAACTTATTGCAACATCTACAAATCATTTCCTCGACAGTAAGCAGGCATTTTCTCCAAACCCATTGGCAATCATACTCACTTGTCGGCCATAGACGTCCATTAAACTGCGTTAAAGCGAGCGCAAAATGTGCACTACCGATATTATACGAGCGCTTTGTTACGAATTAAGTTTGGAAAGGTTTCTTGCTGGGTTTGTTAATCGGTAGATCGCCCACCACGGGCAAAGCGAACCAGTGTATCAGTACATGCAGTGAGTGAGTGAGTGAGTGAGTGTGAGTGAGTGAGGAGTGAGTGAGGTGGGTGGGTGGGTGGGTGGGTGGGTTTGAGTGAGTGAGTGAGTGAGTGAGTGAGTGAGTGGGTTTGAGTGAGTGAGTGAGTGAGTGGGTGGGTTTGAGTGAGTGAGTGAGTGAGTGGGTGGGTTTGAGTGAGTGAGTGAGTGAGTGAGTGAGTGGGTAGGTGGGTGGGTGGGTGGGTTGGTTTGAGTGAGTGAGTGAGTGAGTGAGTGGGTTTGAGTGAGTGAGGAGTGAGTGAGTGGGTTTGAGTGAGTGAGTGAGTGAGTGGGTGGGTTTGAGTGATTGAGTGAGTGAGTGAGTGTGAGTGAGTGTGAGTGAGTGGGTGGGTTTGAGTGGAGGAGGAGTGAGTGAGTGGGTAGGTGGGTGGGTGGGTGGGTTGGTTTGAGTGAGTGAGTGGTGGTGAGTGGGTGGGAGTGAGGAGGAGTGAGTGAGTGAGTGGGTTTGGAGTGAGTGAGTGAGTGAGTGGGTGGGTTTGAGTGAGTGAGTGAGTGAGTCAGTGAGTGAGTGAGGTGGGTAGGTGGGTGGGTGGGTGGGTGGGTTTGAGTGAGTGAGTGGGTGAGTGAGTGGGTTTGAGGTGAGTGAGTGAGTGAGTGGGTGGGTGGGTGGGTTTGAGGTGAGTGAGTGAGTGAGTGAGTGAGTGGGTGGGTGGGTTTGAGTGAGTGAGTGAGTGAGTGGGGGAGGGAGGGAGGAGCAAGTGAGTATCTAAGTAGTATTTTCGACAGAGCAAGAACTACCACAGTCCGTTGCTACAAGATCTTAATTTGCCTTGAAATACGTCAGCACCTGCTAATGGTAAAGATACACATACACCCTGCTGACATTCGTCCAGTTTATTGTTGCAAACCGTCCACATAAAATACCCCCAAAACGTAATTAAGCCCCTTGTACTTTTGAAATGATAGGTTGAAACTTCTCGTGGTCACCACGATGGAAAAACATGACTTTTTCTAACACGTATGATCCTTTCACTCATAGTAAACGACAAATTGATTGGAATCCATCATTTACAAAGCACAGGCAAACTGTAGCGCAAATAGGGTTGTACAACAAAGAGAAATGACCAGTCTTCCCATATGCAAGCGAAGCGAGCGTAGGTTGGCAACGTACTTCCCTCGCTTCGGTTTTAAAAATATATTTAATATCAAAATAAAATATCGCCACCATCAAATGTAGACACCCATTTCCTCAAAGGGATGTGCTCTCAGATTTCCAACCTCATATTTAATCATAACTCACGTACAATATATTTAATTCAACATTTTAAGCGCCACTCGTGCCACATCAAATCGTTCTTCGCCTCCATTACCCTTGCCAACTTCCGGTTCAACGGAGTGAAAAAACAGGGCACACACACACACACACACACACACACGCACGCACGCACGCACGCACGCACGCACGCACGCACGCACGCACGCACACACGCACACACACTGATTTCACCAGGAAACCATGTCTGTACAAGTATGGCCCTGGAATGTGTAATGTTGAATATACATTCTACATGTCATTTTGCGTGTCTTACACAATTCGAGGTTAATACCGAGTGTAACCTACATGTAACTGTATGAAAGCAAGCACTCTCCTCCTCATACTCCCTGTCAGCCTCCTGATCCTCTGAAGGGGCAGTTTACGCCAGTCCTAGTGTAAAGCAGCTTTCAAGTGGGCCAGGTTCTGTACAGGAAGATACCTTTGTTGCACACGATGACCAGTCATGTCCCAGATATGCTCAAAGGGTTAAGATCGGGGCTCATTCAATCGTGAGATATGTCAGGGGGTGCTTAACTAGGCTCTTTGTGCATATATAATCTATTTGAATTGCAACGGCAATCCCCAAAATGCACATTTATACGTATGCATATATCCGGCACAGGACGTGTTTCAATCACTTGGTCAAAGATTCAATGTATATATACTAGGCACATAAAGAAACTGAGCATACAAAAAATTAAAATCTAAATTTATCACACCTGTGTAGACACACAAGGATTTAAACTCAGAGATTAGTGACATGTATCCAACATGCATGCACGTGCCACGTTCCGTGACGTCAGTGGGTTCGTCCTTGAGACGTGCAATACGTTGTTGCACGTGCTTTCCGGGAAAGAGAAACAGAGCAAATGAATGCCACACAATACTGTCACTTTGGAAAGCTCAACTCCTGCCCTTGCGATCGTTCAAACAATTAAACGGCTATTGAAACGCATAGCATGCCAAGGCTCACGTCTGCACAACGTCATGAGGCCATTGGGATGGTCCGTGGGGGAATGTCTCAACGACAAGTGGCTGCACATTTCCACTGCCACCGGAACACCATTTCTGCACCGTTGAGACGCTACCAGAACACAAATGACGTCATCGATCGGCCACGTTCTGGGCGTCCACGTGTAACAACGCCAACACAGGACAGATGGATAAGGGTGACCCATCTTCGCCACAGGTTTCAGACTGCAGTGATGACTGCCCGAACCATCCCAGGACTTCGCCGTATCCATCCCAACACAGTTCGACAACGTTTACGTCATCACGGGATCAGACCACGACGTCCCGCCATACGATCTATCCTGACACAACGTCATCGACAAGCTCGCCGAATATGGTGCCGAAATCATGTCCGCAGACCCTTGTTTTGGTGGAGAAATGTTGTTTTTACAGATGAGTCCAGGTTTAACATTTCCCATTGTGATGGACGTCAACGCCTATAGACGCGTGGGAGAACGTTATGCACAGGCCTGTGTCTTGGAGAGGAATCGCTTTGGTGGTGATTCCGTGATGATTTGGGGTGGAAAAACAGCACGCCAAAGAACTCCTTTGCTGATTGTTCAGGGCAACTTAACTGGTGTGGGCTACAGGGATCAGATTCTTCGACCTGTGGCAATTCCTTTTCTGCAACGTCATGGCCCTTGGTTAACATTCCAACAGGACGATGCCCGCCCTCATACGGCAAGGGTTGCTATGGATTTCTTGCAACACCACAACGTTGACTTACTGTCTTGGCCTGCAAATTCACCGGATCTCTCCCCGATAGAGCATGTCTTCCTCATCCGCCAGATAACGTCCTTGACCTTGCAACAGAACTTGAGAGAATCTGGGGTGACATCCCACAAGCCTTCCTTGCACGTTTAATAGGCTCTATGCGTCGTCGATGCACTGCTGTTCTCAATGCCGATGGTGGACATACCCGTTATTGAGCTTGTGACATGGTCGTTTGACCCCTGTCCCGCTTGTGGACTCGTGATGTCATTGTGATTGACTTTTCAATTGAAATTCTCCCGACTTGTTATGGTCTCATGATCCCTCCATTAAAGTTTATATGTACCTTTGACATTGTTATCGTACTTATCAACTGGGATAATAATTTGACAATGCACAGTTTCTTTATGTGCCTAGTATATATTTGCTTGTGGGCGACCTACAATTATACAGGTATATACATATTTCAAGTTGAAGATTTTCAAATCCCTTGGAGAACAACCACGGTTTAAACAAAATCATAAGCTAAGCTCAGCTTAAAATCAAGGGTGTAGGTTTTTAATAGACACTGTTCACAGCTGTGTTTGGAAAAACAACTTGGCGAAAGTTACTCTGCTCTCTGTGAATAGGCGATTGTAGAGCAAGGTAAGCACTCGCCGTACACCACGGGGTTTCTCATTGTGTCATTGTGATCCACACTGATTTAATATCATATAATCAAACACAGTGAAAGGACTCCAATAGCTATGCTACAATAGTGAAGTGCATACCTGACTACACCTGATCGTGAGCCATTGCTCACTTGTATAAATATAGACATCTCGAACACCAGGGACTTAACACGGGGACAAGAGCTACACGCGTCCTGTCAATGGACCTGTATTGGTCTCGCGAAGACGATTATACTTATGCTTTTCATACCACGGTGATGTTATCGGGGCGAGGTCTTGCAGTGTAACTTGATGATCGGAGTGTACCTGTACAACGTGGCTGGAGTCACTCTGTTGATCAACTCGGAGTATTATGTGGCTCGGGTTGAGAGGGGTGGAGTGTGTGATAATGAGGAAACAGGTTAACAGGAATAAATAAATAAATAAATAAATAAATAAATAAATAAATAAATAAATAAATAAATAAATAAATAAATAAATAAATAAATAAATAAATAAATAAATAAATAAATAAATAAATAAATAAATAAATAAATAAATAAATAAATAAATAAATAAATAAAGAAATAAATATAAAATGTTTCACAGGAATATATCTAAGTAAATGACTAAATAGATGATTGAATGTATGATTAAATAAGTAGAAAAGTACTAGTATATAGACAATTCAATAATACACACTAACACATACTAACACACACACACACACACACAGACACTGACGCACGCACCTCGAGTAAACAACAAACAAAGAGCAAACACACACATACACCCACATTTACACACATACATGCACATATACACACAGACACATTTTGCCCAATATTTAAATGTGTGTTCGGACGCAGGTATCTATAACTGGATAGATAAGTAAGTAAATCAAGACAAGATTAGGTAAGCATATGATAAATGCCTCGTATATGGGGAAGTGAAGGAACGCTGAAGAGGCGCCATGTGACAGTCCAAGGAGAGTATCAGCAATGTACCTGAAACACTCAATACGTTATGGCCAACAATAAACACGATAACAGTGATTGGCACCATTGCCTGTTTAAAGCATGTGTAAGAACAACAATGATCTAAATACCAGCTTTTGTAAATCTAAGCACATTGTATTTACCCCTACAACAATAGCGTTGCCACCCCCTGCTGTGCTGCAACCGACACTAAAACGCAGAGCTTTGTCGTACGGGATATATTTAGGCTACAAGTTAACCATTTTGACCTCTTACATGTTTAGCTGACTACAGACTAGTTGTGAGGCCGGTGACAGTTCCATGGTATCGACTAAAAAAGTCTTATAAAACTGTCGTACCTCTGTTGACAATACGTTTCGAGTTTCTTGACGGGCATGTAATACAGACCGGTGCCTGTCAGGCCCACCTGTTGACGACCACATTGACAAGTCATGCGGTACCTGATCTCAACTCCACCTCGCGTGCTGGGGTATGAAATTGAAACGTGTCGTTACGGTGACGAGCAAATATTGTGTTGTTGTGTTCTAAAACAGTTATCTTAGATCGAATTCCAGGACAACAGTGTGCCAGGGAAAGTAGAACATGCCTAGGAAATGATCCCGCTTTGAGTGTAACCAGAAGTCCGGCCGTTCAGGATAACTGTCGATATGGAATAACCCAGAGGGCTCAGGAAAGCGACACAGGTTTCAGATCAGGAAAAAACGTGGTACAAAAATGATTCCTGTGATTGTTTATTGAAGAATTGTAGAAGATTCTTGGCTACTGTTTATAATTTGTGTGTCCTCGTTTAAAGTTGGTCCTAAAACAATCCTGGTCGTCGGGAGTACGTTGACATTTTGTCCAGAACTTAGTTGTGGGACGTCATTATTGGGCCTTATTAATGTAGATACAGTTCACTATCAGAACCGATCTGACTTGGTCACCTTTGTGTTGTCACTTTCTCTACACATGCTATTGTGAGAGGCTACCGTGATTGACGACAGCCATGATCTCACGACTTCTTCACACGGTATTGTCGGACTCCTGTATATAAGGTAAACAATGTCCAGACCCAAGATGCCAGGGCAAACATCTACCATGAACGGAGACGCGCAGAGGGAGAAGAACAGCCGCCCACCCGTAGAGCTGTACCTTGTCAGGATATCCCCACCTTGCAGGGTTGTGTGGTGGTACATGTTACAGGTGAGATGCCCATCTTGTATGGTGATATGGTGGTACATGTTACAGGTGAGATGCCCGTCTTGTTGGGTGGTATGGTGATGCATGTTACAGGTGAGATGCCCGTCTTGTAGGGTGGTATGATGGTACATGTTACAGGTGAGATGCCCGTCTTGTAGGGTGATATCGTGGTACGTTACAGGTGAGATGCCCGTCTTGTAGGAGGGTCCAGTGATACATGTTACAGGTGAGATGCCCGTCTTGTAGGGTGATATTGTGGTACGTTACAGGTGAGATGCCCGTCTTGTAGGAGGGTCCAGTGATACATGTTACAGGTGAGATGCCCGTCTTGTAGGAGGGTCCAGTGATGCATGTTACAGGTGAGATGCCCGTCTTGTAGGGTGATATGGTGGTACATGTTACAGGTGAGATGCCCGTCTTGTAGAAGGGTCCAGTGATGCATGTTACAGGTGAGATGCCCGTCTTGTAGGGTGATATGGTGGTACATGTTACAGGTGAGATGCCCGTCTTGTAGAAGGGTCCAGTGATGCATGTTACAGGTGAGATGCCCGTCGTGTAGGGTGATATGGTGGTACATGTTACAGGTGAGATGCCCGTCTTGTAGAAGGGTCCAGTGATGCATGTTACAGGTGAGATGCCCGTCTTGTAGGGTGATATGGTGGTACATGTTACAGGTGAGATGCCCGTCTTGTAGAAGGGTCCAGTGATGCATGTTACAGGTGAGATGCCCGTCGTGTAGGGTGATATGGTAGTACATGTTACAGGTGAGATGCCCGTCGTGTAGGGTGATATGGTGGTACATGTTACAGGTGAGATGCCCGTCTTGTAGGGTGATATGATGGTACATGTTACAGTTGAGATGCCCATCTTGTAGGGTGGTATGATGGTGCATGTTACAGGTGAGATGCCCGTCGTGTAGGGTGATATGGTGGTACATGTTACAGTTGAGATGCCCATCTTGTAGGGTGGTATGATGGTGCATGTTACAGGTGAGATGCCCGTCTTGTAGGGTGATATGATGGTACATGTTACAGGTGAGATGCCCGTCTTGTAGGGTGGTATGATGGTGCATGTTACAGGTGAGATGCCCGTCTTGTAGGGTGATATGATGGTACATGTTACAGGTGAGATGCCCGTCTTGTAGGGTGATATTGTGGTACGTTACAGGTGAGATGCCCGTCTTGTAGGAGGGTCCAGTGATGCATGTTACAGGTGAGATGCCCGTCTTGTAGGGTGATATGGTGGTACATGTTACAGGTGAGATGCCCATCTTGTAGGGTGGTATGATGGTACATGTTACAGTTGAGATGTCCATCTTGTAGGGTAGTATGGTGGTAAATGTTACAGGTGAGATGCCCGTCTTGTAGGGTGGTATAATGGTACATGTTACAGGTGAGATGCCCGTCTTGTAGGGTAGTATGGTGGTACATGTTACAGGTGAGATGCCCATCTTGTAGGGTAGTATGATGGTACATGTTACAGTTGAGATGCCCATCTTGTAGGGTGATATGGTGGTACATGTTACAGGTGAGATGCCCACATTGCAGGGTTTTGTGGTGGCACATGTTACAGGTGAGATCCCCACCTTGCAGGGATGTATAGAGTAACATTGCGCTCGTAAATCGGTTATATCTTCTTCATCACTCACCTACTTGCAATAGCTACCTTCAGTCGTCTGTACACTTGAGACAGTTTACAGGTCAATGGTTTGTAAACAGATTAACCTATACATATCGACATATTAAAGTTTCATTACTAGCTGAAAAAAGCTGATGTTTAATGGCGCGTTGTGTAAGCAATACGCATCTGTGCCACCGATCCTGTCTTCACCTCTTTGTGTAACCCGAACTATCAAGTACATAAACCTATTAGATATGTATAAACCTGGAGATACAACTCTGTGTGTTCCCGATCTATATGTCACCTCTGTTGCCTGGTGAATCTGAAGACACAATGTTTAGTGTACAGATGTACAGTTATACTGACCGTACAGTAGAGGCCCAATCTGTAAGATCTATATTGACTCTGTCATAGTGGGATGTCCTCAGTGGGTTGTATCTCGGGTCTATCACCATACTTAACCATGACCTTAATCTCAGCCACCATATGTAGTCTTGTTACATCACCCTCTCCATCAATAGCGTCACAAAGTCAGCATTTCTAATGCTCTCGAACATACAACCAATACACAATCAATTTACAATAACCTCTACACTTGAATCAATATTCATCGTCATTCAGATCCTTCTTAAGGGCCACCACTCGAGACATTTAATGTACTCGGAAATCCGTTATATAATTAGAAAATAATTAAGCAGCACTTACGATTTGTTAAAGTATCATATAAAAATAATAAAATCACTTCGTGTATGTAGTTTCTGACGAAACGAAATATTCAGGTTTCTGTCGCAACACCCATATATAAAAATACTGAAACTGAAGTCAGTTTAGTGAATGCGCCTTGGCATCAGTTGCATTTCTGCCTGTTCAACTGTGTGCTCTGCTTCTTTTCTATACTGCAATCCTGGTATTGTACTAGTATCAGTGTCTCATCAAGCACGTGCTACCTCAGATTTGAAGTCAAATCCATGTGTATATATTCGTAATGGACAAAGGGCGTTCAGCGTTTATACAAATAAGGATAGGGTGTTGCGTAACTATTTACTGTGAGTATATACACCTTTGAGCTGGAACACGTGAGTTGGAGACAAGAGAAGAATGTTCTTATGCCTGCCTCTCCAGTTCTCTCGGATACTATGAGGTAGGTCGACCATGAAAGAACTTTGTAACTTGGACAGCTTTATTGTGTTGTGTCCGACCGGACGCAAAACAAAATGGTGGCATATTTGCCTTGGCTATATACTATATATATGTTGCTAGGGGTACGGTCCACAGTTGGCACGGGCGTTATCATCAGCAAATACAACCCTGGACCTGCATGGTGCGCAAATGGCACAACTGTTGGCATTAGTATGTTGTGTCAGTTCTATCACAGGTGTCCAGTGAGGTGAGGTGAAATTGGGTTTTACGTCGTGTTTGAGAATATTTCGCTCATATGACGACGTGCATGCATGTGTATGTGTATGTGCGGCTGCTTGTACTAGCCCAGACAGACTTAAGCTGGTTTTATAGTGCTAGCCCACTGAGAGACCATGCGGCAGTGAAGCATGAATATCCCACTCAGACACATTATACTGACTCCGAGCCGTCCAGTCCTTGTTGTACCCATTAATGCCGAGCGCCAGGCAGGGACCAACAAGTACCATATTTTAACGTCTTTTTGGTATGACGCGGTCGGGGATCGAACCTGCGACCTTCCGCTCTCCGGGCGGACGCTCTAACCACTACACCACGGAGGCGGTTACTGTCCAGTACTTAATAATAATAATGATAATAATTTATCAGCCATTGCACGCCTGTATCCACGAACGTGTGCATGATCAACACGCGACAATAAAAGAGAGGATAATTTAAAATCAATAATTTACATGGTGGGTTTACAAGGGTCAGTAATACAAGCTCTCGAAAATGAGTTTTCAATGAGATTTGAAAGTTGTCAGAGAATCATAAAGTTTAATGCTGACAGGTAGATTCCAGAGACTGACAGGTAGATTCCAGAGACTGACAGGTAGATTCCAGAGACTGACAGGTAGATCCCAGAGACTGACAGGTAGATTCCAGAGACAGGTAGATTCCAGAGACTGACAGGTAGATTCCAGAGACTGACAGGTAGATTCCAGAGACTGACAGGTAGATCCCAGAGACTGACAGGTAGATTCCAGAGACAGGTAGATTCCAGAGACTGACAGGTAGATTCCAGAGACTGACAGGTAGATTCCAGAGACTGACAGGTAGATCCCAGAGACTGACAGGTAGATTCCTGATATTGTGCTGCTTGTATTAATAATTACTTGGCGAATGAAGTAATATACAATATACAACAGTCTTCTGGTAGCTATGTGATTCCGCGCCATACCAGGGCACACAGCCCCCAAATCTGCCATGCTGCTGTACGTTAAGGTTTGTCAGGGTTCGTGAGGGTTCGTGAAGGTTCGTCAGTGTTCAACAGGACGCCCCCAGATACACCCACGCCTCTACAGACGGTCCAACGTGTTAAAAGGACTTGGCGTTCATCGAGTTGCCGACTTCTCACTCTGATAACAAACACTGCATTAAAACATTTGGGAAAGCTAACGTGTTTCTGTGAAGAATGAACTTATCAACACTAATAGCTTTGTCGACCTTCACTGAGTCAAAGACGAGGATGACCACCAACCCACGTGCACGGGGGAATTGGATGGCCCACGTGCACTGTTCGGTGTCTTGCGGTGTGAATGTTTGGTTCCGAACCCATTTCTATCTCTGACATATTTGACAAAGCTGATCGTTCATCTCTCGGCCGTTCACAGCATGTATATTTCATGTTACCCTGCGTTGATGGAGACTAGGTGTGAGTACTTGAGTGTAGGTTAAGTGTGCTTTAAGCTGTGCCTGAAACACGAGGGATATTTCCACTGGTGAAACCCACGTTTAGGGGTATCCTGATGACAGTCCTTGAAACATGATCAGGGGGCAGCTTGGACATTACTCCATGTTTCTGGATACTGTTACCACTGCCTCCACACTATTAAGGAAGAGAGGCTCTAAGGCATGTTCATGAAATAATCATTATTCAACCTACCATGACCTTTAAAATGTCGTATGGTATTATCTGTATTGGCGTGTCCTCCAGGTACAGTACAATGTATTTTGAAAGCAAGCTAATCCTTTGACGGGGCTAATATTACTGCCCTCATTAATGCCATGTTCTGTTTTCCCTTGTGGACTCTTGGCCTCACTACGATTACTAGTGTAGTTGTAACGACACGGTAATGTACAACACGTCATATTTGGTGTTTTAAACTAAACAGAATAGGAACAGGTGAAATGTCCCTTTTCGTGTTCAACATATTACCTGAACTGAATGTTCTGAATGTTCTGGGTATTGAATGCTCCAATATTGGAGTAGAACCGGAACCGTCAGCATCAGAGGCTGACACCTTATCTAGCCGCCTCCTACTTGAGGAGGATGTAATTTCTGCTTATGATGAGGCCTGCGGGAAGGTATGACCATGAATGTTGTTTTGTTTCCAAGCTTGATGTAAAGGCTCTTTCACTCACTCACAGTGTGGCATGACATCTAATCGTACTTCCTGCACTGGATGTAGACCCCTTTTAACAATACAACCCCATTTCCCAATAACTTACATCCAGAAGTACTTGACGCCTTTCTATGTTGTTACATTCAGTCTCGTTATGAGGAAGTTCCACAAGTGATGCTCGTTGGTTGCTGTTGTCGTTCAGATGTTGTCTGTTAGATGTTGTTGCAGGATCACAGCGTGTGTCCGTGTCTCGACCGTGTTATTCCCTCGCCCTTCCAGTCCGTCTGTTTGAACACAGGACGTATTGATGCACTCTCTTTCATATAAATCTTTAGCGTCATTTCATATACTGCTAGATCACGACATTTGTATATTCAAGACTGTTATAAAGCAATAGTTGATGTTATCCTGCCTTTATAACTGTATTATATACCAACAAACTGGTATCAGCGTCTTGATCGCGCGGTATGTACAGACTTCAATACAGTGACTGAAGGACATGCAGACATGATCATATTGTCCTGTCCACGCCCTTCGTGCATGCTTGTATTTAATAGAAGAACTTGCGTTACCGTACCGCTAAAATACACGCACTATCCGTGCAAATATGATAACGATAATCATTATATGTCTACTTGCAAGATCAAACAATTTGATTCATTGTGTATTTTCTCAGTGCAGATTGAGTCCGGGTTTCCGTTGCCAGTGGCTAGTGGCCATGTTGACTCTCCTTTGAAGGACACACACCAATACGTCCTTTATACATGTGTCAGGCAGCTAGGCATTGATCGATGTGTCACTCGAGTAATGCTTTTTCCGACCAACTGCCACTCCCGCTTTCCTTGAGAGAGCAAGTGACGCCTTTCTGTTCGGGTACAAAATATACGATTCAATTGGACAGATACATTAGCTGTATGAGTAGAACTTGGTAGACGATGGTCGACTGTATGTTGTTGTGCATCTCTGTCTAACTGAACTCTTCAGTTATTGTCCCTGTACTGACTTACATTCGCACCGTTATATGTGGGGGAGTCTTTTAACACAATTTCATGGGAAGGTAATATTACAACGCAGTTTGTTTTGCAGTACGAGATACCCCACGTCCTGATTGACGTGGACTTCAGCCAAGGGGAGACAAATCTGCCCGACATTGTCCGGAAGCAGCCTCACCAGGAGGTGCCTATTCTTCTTGATGGCGACATCGTCGTGTTTGAAGGGTAATACTGACTAACAGGTTGGCAGCACAACAAACCATTTCCTCATTCTAAACTATTTGTGTAGGTGAACACGAGCACATGTTTGCAGCCACTGGAGTCCACTCATTACTTTGACAACAGCTATCCGGTGGTCAGGTTCGCTGGTTGACACATGTCATCGTTTCCCAATTGCGTAGACTGACATTCATGCTGTTGATCACGGGATTGTCCAGAATTGATTATTTACAGACCGCCGCCATATAGCTGACATATTGCTGTGTGCGGCATTAAACAAGAAACAAGTATTGCAAACTTTGACACCACCACGGTGGAGACGTATAACGGGTATTTTGTAAGAACTGGCCTAACGTAATTGCATCAATACATTTTAATGTTTTATCATTATATTATCACAGGCCAAACTACACATGATTTAGTACACTTACTTACATGACCAATCTGACTTCACAGCCCCGCTATACTGCACTATCTCGCCACCCAGTTTGCTGACCATGCAGGTTTCGGGATCAGCCTCAGTACCCGGATGATGAGTGAGTCTCTGGTCAGCTGGGCCAACAGTGAGCTGCACAGGTCAGTATTCTTGGGTTTACCATAGAAGGAGAAGGAGTGTCCGTATGGGTCCACTGGAGAATCTGGGTTACATTCCACAAAGACCGACTGACTGTTACGACTCACGGAACTTCCCTCGTCAACGACCTTTATGTACACCGCCTCTGTGGTGTAGTGGTTAGAGCGTCCGCCCGGAGAGCGGAAGGTCGCGGGTTCGATCCCCGACCGCGTCATACCAAAAGACGTTAAAATATGGTACTTGTTGGTCCCTGCCTGGCGCTCGGCATTAATGGGTACAACAAGGACTGGTCGGCTCGGAGTCAGTATAATGTGTCTGAGTGGGATATTCATGCTTCACTGCGGCATGGTATCTCAGGGGGCTACCACTATAAAACCAGCTTAAGTCTGGGCTAGTACAAGCAGCCGCACATACACATACACACGCATGCACGTCGTCATATGAGCGAAATATTCTCAAGTGCGACGTGAAAACCCAATTTCACCTCACCTCACCTTTGTGTACAGCCTAGGGGTTAACCGCATGAGCAATGGTCACCGTCGGGGCTTGATATCATATAGCTGCAGCTGCTTGGTGTGATGTCAGCACGTCGACAAACTGGAGTCGTAACTGTTAGGTCACTTGTCAAACAGGCGCACGAACAGTCGTAACTGTTAGGTCACTTGTCAAACAGGCGCACGAACAGTCGTAACTGATAGGTCACTTGTCAAACAGGCGCATGAACAGTCGTAACTGATAGGTCACTTGTCAAACAGGCGCATGAACAGTCGTAACTGTTAGGTCACTTGTCAAACAGGCGCACGAACAGTCGTAACTGTTAGGTCACTTGTCAAACAGGCGCACGAACAGTCGTAACTGATAGGTCACTTGTCAAACAGGCGCACGAACAGTCGTAACTGTTAGTTCAGTTGTTAAACAGGCGCACGAACAGTCGTAACTGATAGGTCACTTGTCAAACAGGCGCACAAACAGTCGTAACTGATAGGTCACTTGTCAAACAGGCGCACAAACAGTCGTAACTGATAGGTCACTTGTTAAACAGGCGCACGAACAGTCGTAACTGATAGGTCACTTGTCAAACAGGCGCACGAACAGTCGTAACTGTTAGTTCAGTTGTTAAACAGGCGCACGAACAGTCGTAACTGATAGGTCACTTGTCAAACAGGCGCACAAACAGTCGTAACTGATAGGTCACTTGTCAAACAGGCGCACAAACAGTCGTAACTGATAGGTCACTTGTCAAACAGGCGCACAAACAGTCGTAACTGTTAGTTCAGTTGTTAAACAGGCGCACGAACAGTCGTAACTGATAGGTCACTTGTCAAACAGGCGCACAAACAGTCGTAACTGATAGGTCACTTGTCAAACAGGCGCACAAACAGTCGTAACTGATAGGTCACTTGTCAAACAGGCGCACAAACAGTCGTAACTGTTAGTTCAGTTGTTAAACAGGCGCACGAACAGTCGTAACTGATAGGTCACTTGCCAAACAGGCGCACAAACAGTCGTAACTTTTAGGTCACTTGTTAAACAGGCGCACGAACAGTCGTAACTTTTAGGTCACTTGTTAAACAGGCGCACGAACAGTCGTAACTGTTAGGTCACTTGTCAAACAGGCGCACGAACAGTCGTAAATTTTAGGTCACCTATCAAACAGGCGCACGAACAGTCGTAACTGATAGGTCACTTGTCAAACAGGCGCACGAACAGTCGTAACTGTTAGTTCAGTTGTTAAACAGGCGCACGAACAGTCGTAACTGATAGGTCACTTGTCAAACAGGCGCACGAACAGTCGTAACTGATAGGTCACTTGTCAAACAGGCGCACAAACAGTCGTAACTGATAGGTCACTTGTTAAACAGGCGCACAAACAGTCGTAACTGATAGGTCACTTGCCAAACAGGCGCACAAACAGTCGTAACTTTTAGGTCACTTGTTAAACAGGCGCACGAACAGTCGTAACTTTTAGGTCACTTGTCAAACAGGCGCACGAACAGTCGTAACTGATAGGTCACTTGTTAAACAGGCGCACGAACAGTCGTAACTTTTAGGTCACTTGTCAAACAGGCGCACAAACAGTCGTAACTGATAGGTCACTTGTCAAACAGGCGCACAAACAGTCGTAACTGATAGGTCACTTGTTAAACAGGCGCACGAACAGTCGTAACTTTTAGGTCACTTGTCAAACAGGCGCACAAACAGTCGTAACTGATAGGTCACTTGTCAAACAGGCGCACAAACAGTCGTAACTTTTAGGTCACTTGTTAAACAGGCGCACGAACAGTCGTAACTTTTAGGTCACTTGTCAAACAGGCGCACAAACAGTCGTAACTGATAGGTCACTTGTCAAACAGGCGCACAAACAGTCGTAACTGATAGGTCACTTGTCAAACAGGCGCACAAACAGTCGCAACTGATAGGTCACTTGTTAAACAGGCGCACGAACAGTCGTAACTGTTAGGTCACTTGCCAAACAGGCGCACAAACAGTCGTAACTTTTAGGTCACTTGTTAAACAGGCGCACGAACAGTCGTAACTTTTAGGTCACTTGTCAAACAGTCGCACGAACAGTCGTAACTGATAGGTCACTTGTCAAACAGGCGCACGAACAGTCGTAACTGTTAGTTCAGTTGTTAAACAGGCGCACGAACAGTCGTAACTGATAGGTCACTTGTCAAACAGGCGCACGAACAGTCGTAACTGATAGGTCACTTGTCAAACAGGCGCACAAACAGTCGTAACTGATAGGTCACTTGTTAAACAGGCGCACAAACAGTCGTAACTGATAGGTCACTTGCCAAACAGGCGCACAAACAGTCGTAACTTTTAGGTCACTTGTTAAACAGGCGCACGAACAGTCGTAACTTTTAGGTCACTTGTCAAACAGGCGCACGAACAGTCGTAACTGATAGGTCACTTGTTAAACAGGCGCACGAACAGTCGTAACTTTTAGGTCACTTGTCAAACAGGCGCACAAACAGTCGTAACTGATAGGTCACTTGTCAAACAGGCGCACAAACAGTCGTAACTGATAGGTCACTTGTTAAACAGGCGCACGAACAGTCGTAACTTTTAGGTCACTTGTCAAACAGGCGCACAAACAGTCGTAACTGATAGGTCACTTGTCAAACAGGCGCACAAACAGTCGTAACTGATAGGTCACTTGTTAAACAGGCGCACGAACAGTCGTAACTTTTAGGTCACTTGTCAAACAGGCGCACGAACAGTCGTAACTGATAGGTCACTTGTCAAACAGGCGCACGAACAGTCGTAACTGATAGGTCACTTGTCAAACAGGCGCACAAACAGTCGTAACTGATAGGTCACTTGTCAAACAGGCGCACGAACAGTCGTAACTGATAGGTCACTTGTCAAACAGGCGCACCGAGGGTGGAAGGATGGTATCCGTATAACTGTTTGTTCATTTTGAGATTTCGAGATTTGTAACCTAGAATAAGGTCCGGATCATCTCTTGGATCCACAGTGTAACCTACAGAGCAAGCAGTTGGAACATATGATTCAACTCCAACAAGAAGGGGCGGTGGGGTAGCTTAGCGGTTAAATCGTCCGCTCGTCACGCCGAAGACCCGAGTTCGATTCCTCACATGGGTACAATGTGTGACGCCCATTTCTGGTGTCCCCCGCCGTGATATTACTGGAATATTGCTAAAAGCGGCATAAAACCAAACTCACTCCATCAAGAAAGTACATGGGGTGGTGTTTGTGCGCAAAAGCCTCTGTTCGACGTTTGAATATCAGGGGCCAGTTCATACTCCATATTTATCACAACCTAGAAATCAAGCCGTGATAATAACATGTGTGATTCAACGTACAAACAGAAATCCTTCAAGGTCACTTAAAACTCAAATCAAACCCAAATTAAACCACTCACGCGCACACAGAATTATTCGAGAATGTATGAAGCGGTTGTAAAATAACTGACACTCGTCGCTATGCGTAACCCAATATACGTGGAAACACCGAAACACGTGCCTTAGTACCATGTGTACTGAAGGGTTTTAAGATGAGGCTTTCTAGAGTGTCTATTGATACTTTAATTCATACACAAATATTGCCGTTTAAATCGATACTCTGCTTGTGACATTTGGGTTGAAGAGCAGCTGTGACAGAAATGAGTCCAGGTAATATAACATAGCAGAATTGACTGCGATCTCCGACATACTCAATCAGATAAGTCGAGATTAGTTACTTTCAAGCCCAGTAAAATCTTAAAACCTGAAAAACAATTGTAGGTAGATAATCCTTTTCTGCATTTAATTACAAATGTCTGGCATACCCAAGCCCAGAGCGTGGATGAAACAGTTCCTCATCATGCTGTAATGTGGAATCAAGCAGATAAACTACTCACTATCACCTAACGTGGTACTGAAGAATACACAACCTCCCAAGTTGGCACATTAAACATCTCATTGCCTTACAAGTTAACTCTGTTGCCAACACCAAGAAAACGACAGTTGAGTTTGATAATGTCTGCAATGAACTGTTAAAACTAAGTTTTGCTTAGTTAATATGTATTGGCAGCAGTAGTGTGCATGGTACTTGAATACACATGTAAATTATACTTGGATGACGTATATCGTAGGTAGCTCCCTGCTAATCTTTTCATAGCATTCATTGAGGTGGTAAACTACATTACTCGGCCCCGTCCCTTCTCCCCCTCCCTCCCTGGTTCCACCCTCCATCTGACCAGGACCTCCTGCAGCAGACCGTTGATGTGAAGCCATGAACATATTTGTAAATGAGTTTAGTTTTACGCCGCTTTTAGCAATATTCCAGTAATATCACAGCTGGGCACACCAGAAATGGGCTTCATACATTGTGTCCATGTGGGAAATCGAACCCGGGTCTTCGGTGTGACAAGCGAACGCTTTAAGCACTATCCCCATTCCACTTTAATCGCTACCCCGCCACCCCCATTCAATGTAGCACTGCCTTTAAATATAACTTCTACATTGGTTTCAGGGTTGTTGGGTACGGGTACGTGTACCCACAGTTCCTGGAGAAGTATGCCCTGCCTAACGAGGAGGCGACGGAGGTTCTGGTGGAGAAGGGTCTCCATTACATCACTCGGCACTTGGAGGTCCTGGAGAACAGGTACCTCGCCAAACACAAGTACCTGACAGGCGACAGGTACACCGTCGCTGACGTCTTCGTCGCCACCGTCCTGCTGCAACTACAATGGCCCAACTTCCAGTTCCGGATCTGGCCGAAAGTGGACACGTGGTTGTCACGTGTCAAACAAGTGGAATTCTGGGATATAGTGCATGTTTCACATCGGGAATTTCTGGAGGAACTTGAAAGAAATCGGTACACATTTGACTGACGAATCACAGGATCCGATGACCAAACCGTGAACACAAGCCATACATCTAGGAGCTCATGCATTCGCAGGAGTATGAAAGTGTAAAATTATTCAATTCGATTCAATTTATTTCGGTAATAGGGGTCATAGGCCAAGAGTACAAACAATACATCGCATTTTGTTTTGGTGGCTCTTTCATAAGAGCGTGAATGGCATAAAGTAATTACATTGTACAATTGAACAATAATAATCATAGGTTGACAATATAATAATGCAAAAGTTGATAGGGTTAACTCCATTGCAGTTTGGTACAGAATTCTGAGAAATAGCATATCAAGTCATAGCAAATTATATATGTATATATTGATGAATGAGCACAATTATTTGTAATGGTTACAAGTCAATCAATCAAACCATAGTTGTAGATAAACAAGATGTTAAGCGGAATATGTTTGAGTTGTCTCGCTTGCATCAGGTATTGAGAAACTTCTGTCTCACAGCTGAGGCCTTGAATATGTATTCCGCTAATAGTGACTGATGGAAATTAAAGGATGGAATAACAATGAACGAACAGTAATATGCTTACGGTATAACTATAAGATACGGTAAGGTTTTAGTAATAAAACAGTTTTATATTGTCTCCAACAAGGAATTTGGTATCACGAATTTTTTCGGAGGAGACCCTATGTTTATTATTGTGAAGGACCAAAGAATGGTGAACTGTCTTCCCCAGCCTTTATGGATCCTTTTGTGACGACCATGCTTTGTGCATTTAAAAAACGACACAGTACATACTTGCTTTACCTAAGTGAAATAATGTTGGAGGGATGGTGTATATATTTATTAAATAACGCTCATACAGGATTGTTATTGCATTTGGTTTTTTTCTGTGACGAATCGTGTCAGAATCTTTACACCCCAATATCTTGTATTGCAGGCTAACTGCGGTAGACTGAGTGGTATCTAGGGGATGACTGAACACAGTACAGTTATCCCCATTCTAATTCAACTCGTTTTACGCTGTTTTTTGTGTGAAAGTAATTCATTATTTAAACCACGTCATGAAAAGTTCCTCTAGGTCAAAGGTCAATATTATCACTCCTTGAACCACTCTCCTACCCAGAATTCCATGCGGCAAGCCAGCATAGTAGCTCTGCCACAGGCCAGAAAGATGTGACGATTCGTCACATCTTGCAATGTCCATTCAATATGATGTACAGATTTCTTTTACTCTTTTATTTTTGACGAGTCTACACATCTAACTAAACATCTTTAATAGAATGGTTTAGTTTCACTGAGAAAATGTCCAAAACATGTAACACTATTTCGATTTGCGTAGCGATTCTTTGTTTACACAGGTTGTACGGCTCCACGTGCTGTCATCGAAGCTGATGGAGAGCAAACGATGCAGCCAGTTTGATATCTAAATATGTACTGTCATAGACCTAACTGTCGCAGTTGTGGAAGAATATATATGTAACAATGTAAAACAATATGAAGAGAGCGCCGAAAAGCTTTCGTGAGTCCAGTGTCTTCTTATAATGAATATGCGAGTTTGTTTACAAACAAGAGAAAAGTCCGGTCACGTGATATGCAAATAAGCCTGTGGCAGTGATGTTATGTTAGTCATCGCTGTGCCGGAGTGTGTCCTTGAACTTACTCCATCGCCAGAAAAAGTAGTTCCCTTTTTATACTTCAACAAACTGAATAGCAAGTCAAATAATCACACTAAACACGTTTATTATGTGCACACTTACTAAATCTGACAACGATGAATAAATCATAGTGTTATTCTTCTGCACATAACAATTTTAAACTTGAAGCGATAGAGCAAATATTTGTGACGTCAAGATAACCTTGACCTTCACACAACGTGGTAATCGGCCATTCGAACGTCAGCCTATACCAGGTTTAGATCGGTTATACCACTTCCAATATATCATCGTAATCGATAACAACATCGCCGTAATCTAAGCAAGGGTTCTCGCAAGATTGACGAGTGGAAAATGATTCAGTACAAGGAAACGAAATAGGAGTTAATGAAGGAATAATGTCATTCAGAACACTCGTGTTACATAATAAGTTGAATTAGAATAACACAGTAACTCCCAGTACGGCCTTCACACTCGCATAATTGTCGCCTTACAAAAGTACACACACTTATAACTTTGTCCACTTAATCTTAGCGAGACAGCTCAAATCAATACAAATGTGTAACAAAGGCGTGTTTTGTAACCGTTTTGTAACTCGCTTGTTTACGTCCGGACATGCATCAGTACATGTTAAACCTGCCCGCATGCTCGTTAGTACTGAGTGCACCTATCTATCCTTCCCATCACTGACACTTACTCCATGTAGAGTGATGCAGACTGTTTGCCGAACATCTACAGCTATTGTCTTCACGTATTTGTCATTCCTATGTTACACAATAGATCTATCGGTTTTCACAACGACATCGGCAAAACCCCTACAGGATCATATTCCTGGAATGATTAGTGCATCCATCTCTATCGATAACCACAAGTGTTCGTCCGCATGGCTGATCTACCAGCTCTTCGATCAAGACATGTGTTGTTCAACACCAAGGACAACGTCGGGATAAACAGAACGTGCACGACAACCATGTCGGTAATGTGTACACAGTGAAGGTATTGGAATACAGAGAATCTAGATATTGACCCATCCGTAAAGGTTCAGTACGTCACAGAAAATGCATTTCTGTTATGCAATACTGTCATTGTCAATATACATCAAGGTATCGGTGACTATAACTTGAAATGTTTTTGAAGTAGCGTTGAAACTAATTTAATGGCTGGTTTGGAAGCCAAATGTTTCTTTCCAACAATATTGACCTCGCAAAAGTCTTCGCGTTCCTGTACTGTACCATAGCGTTCCACTACGTTTTACACAAAAACATACAGCGGTATGGTGAATGTGATGTTTAGAATGTCTCTAAATAAATCGCCTAGAAAGTATTTAGTTATCACACCTTCTTAGTTTGTAAGTTTACTGTGATGTTAGGTTGGACAAACATCTGATAAATACCCGTAGATAAAGCATCTACTCATGAAAGAATCTTAACTTGACGCACATCTACTACCCAGGCCACGTGACTATACCCGACTGTGGGGGTGGTGGGGTAGCCTAGTACTTAAAACGTTCGCTCGTCACGCCGAAGACCGGGTTTGATTTCCCGCATGGCTACAATGTGCGAAGTTGGTTCCTTGCGGCCCGGTCGTGATATTGCTGGTATATACTGCAGAAAGCGACGGAAAACCCAACTTACTCACTGTATACGATAATGAGCAGCTGAGGTGTACCTACACCGGCTTCTGTCAAAAAGTCGTTCGGCTCATTATTTGAGGTTGGAATGTAATTAAGTATATGTACACACTAGACTGTTGATGTTACAGTGATATTGGCTTTAACTTAATTAGGTCCTTTAATACAGGTTTGTTTCTGTTCGTGGAACAGAACGAGGCCCGAGGAAGGATTGTGACACAGGAATCTGATACCATCGACAGAAACTTACGTGACAATTCGTCTTTTGCTGAGCTAGTAATCTATATATGTATTACATAATCCAATTTCACTTTGTGTAAGTTCACAATGCCTTATCAGACAATAACCCGATTAGTCAGGCAACTTATGCTTAGAATGAGAACCTAAAATCAGTAATGACGCCTGGTTTCTCTAACGATAGTACACGCCACTTTTTGGAACAAATCTGTAAAACAATATTACTGGCCAATAATGTATGTATGTAAGTATAAGAGAACACTGTTTTCAATGTTTCATGCTTGCAGGCAAAATATTGCGATTGATTCCACGTGAATTTTCAAGCCCCAATCAAGTGAAAATTCTTCTCAGTTCTGTCGAACTTGGGACCCACTAGGTTTCTATTAGTTTGCCTCCGTGACGTTCTGCAAGTGAAAGTCTGACTGGGGATGCTAAATGCATAATACTGTGACAAAATATCCCGAATATAATCATATGTCACAGCATTGACTGTAGTTGCCACATCTTGAGTCCCGAGTCTCGAGTCCGTTCAACACTCTGTCAGGTTTACTTCATCACACAGCTCCAGGTATATATTTCTGACCGGGATTCACAGAGCAACCAACGACTTGTAAACTGTTTGACTCAACATATCTTTATTTCAATCAGGCCGTACCACACCTTTGTCGTTACTTATAAAATATACACACAATACTCAATATATATCATGGAAATCAAGGTGAACAATACTATATCATGTAACAATGTAACGGGGTAAAGCAATTGTGCTTCATGTAAAGGTAGTGAAAATATCATAATAGTTGGTCATTAGTTTGATCCATACTTTTCAGTACAAAATCATTGTCAAAAGTCCCATATGTAATTACTCAATTAACAATGCCAATATCATGAGCGGCGACTCATTGACATCAGCTGATTGAAGCTAGACTTGGATCTGTTCACATATGTCATTTTGATCAAACTGAGTAGGCGATACTGGCTGGTTCCGATCCTGTCGTAGGCGTCCTTCCACCTCATCCCAGAATTACTCTATGGAGTTCCTGGGAAACAGCCTGGCATGGCAGAACAGCAATGACATGCTGCCTCATCGGTTAAAACACACGCAACTAGTTTGCGAGCATTATCGTGCTGCTACATGACGTTATGATCCTGTTTGCTACCAACACACAACGCTGAATAATACACACATAATTACCATGCTGTCCTGGACGCATGTCGACAGTTGCACTACCACTAGAGCTGCTCAAATGATACCGTAACTCATCAGCATGATATTACACAGTCGTGCTTGCTGAACATCAGAACCTCTGCTGGCCAGACTTGCTTGCGATGACGAAGAAGCAAAACCTTCATTAACCGGTTACAAGAGTATCGTGCTATCAACAAACGTCCAAATTGTCAACATACACGTGCAAACTGTGAATACTGCCTTAAAGTCGAGATATCTTCAGTATCAAGTAAGCGAATTTAATTCCAGATTTTTTTACTGAACTTCATATAAAGCACAGTTACTAAATTTATTTTCTTATTTGGAGCACTTAAATGAAGTCATTCTGAAAGATAATGCTTTCGTAGAACAAATATTGTGATAAAAGTAAATTTTATCAAATTGTAGCTATTTTATTTATTTCTTCTTCGCCAACTGTTGACAAAGGGTCAGTGTATCGGATATGATAAACACACTCAGTACAGCAGTTATAAACACAACCCCAGAGTAGCCAATGATAGTTGCTGATGGTCGATCATCGGTCTGGGATACCCGCTTCCTTCGTACTGCCGACAGCGTTGATTGGTCAACTTTCAGCCACACACGCAGCTCATCAATGACGCCTTGGATCTCGGTGCTATTTTTAACCTTGACACATATTTCACATGGGCAGTTGTCAGATGTTGTGTTGTCTGAACGTAAAGGAAAAACAGAAAAATTGACTGTACTGGCGCTTTGGCAGCACTCAGAGAATACTTTTACACTGTTTTATTTTTATAAATATAATTTGATTGAAATCTTTAATAAATCAACAAGTTTAATTGCGCTTAATACACAATAAATCTATGTTTCATACATGTTTGGTGTCATGTGGCCGTAAATTCATTTGTCAGCCCAGTCTTTCTTTCTGTACAAAATGGAAAAGTCCCAGATTGCTTTTTACACAAAATGTCTCAAGAACATAGTGAAGGCTAAATTACAATAATCAAAATTAACATTTCTGTAAAAAACAAACAAACAAACAAACAACAACATCCCCACCAAAAAGCCCCCCAACAAAGCAACAAAAGACAACCCCCCCCCAAAAAATACAACAAAAAACAAACAAAACAACAGAAGCAAAACAAAAAACAAAACTCTTTTCTTTGTTTTCAGTATATTATGTCATCGTACTTTTTCTCTCTTGCTGTGATGCGTTCCAGATAATTTGTCTGAGTTCTTTCATTAATGCAATCATATTTTCTCCCTTTTTAAAACTGACTATATCTGTCAAAACTCACAAGAGAAATGTGCTAGAAGGTATACACAGACGGGTTGATTACAGAACACAGTTCAACTCACCGACATCTGTCTGGGGTGCTGCGGCAGGTCCTTGCGCAACGGTGGAGTGCGTGGTAGTTGGTGCACTTGGCTGCGTGGTCGTTGTCAAGGTAAATGGAGGGGTCGATGTCGTGGTAGATGGAGTGGTCGTTGTCGTGGTAGATGGAGTGGTCGTTGTCGTGGTAGGTTGAGTTGTCGTGGTTGATGGGAGGGTCGTTGTCGTGGTAGGTTGAGAGGTGGTTGTCGTGGTAGGTTGAGAGGTCGTTGTCGTGGTAGGTTGAGAGGTCGTTGTCGTGGCAGGTTGAGTTGTTGTCGAGGTAGGTTGTGGGGTCGTTGTGGTAGGTTGAAGGGTCATTGTTGTGGTAGGGAAAGCGGTCGTTGTCGTGGTAGGTGGAAGGGTAGTTGTCGTAGTAGGTTGAGTTGTTGTAGTGGTATGTTGAGGGGTCGTTGTCGTAGTAGGTTGAGGGGTCGTTGTCGTAGTAGGTTGAGTTGTCATTGTCGTGGTAGGTTGAGTTGTTGTTGTCGAGGTAGGTTGTGGGGTCGTTGTGGTAGGTTGAAGGGTCATTGTTGTGGTAGGGAAAGCGGTCGTTGTCGTGGTAGGTGGAAGGGTCGTTGTCGTGGTAGGTGGAAGGGTCGTTGTCGTAGTAGGTTGAGTTGTTGTAGTGGTATGTTGAGGGGTCGTTGTCGTGGTAGGTTGAGCGGTCGTTGTCGTGGTAGGTTGAGTTGTTGAAGTGGTAGGTTGATAGGTCGTTGTCGTAGTGGGCTGGGTTGTCGTTGTTGTGGTAGCTTGAGAGGTTGTTGTCGTGGTAGGTTGAGGGGTCGCTGTTGTGGCGGGCTGAGTAGTGGTTTGCGTGGTAGTCGGATCGTCTCCTTGTGCATTACCGAGAGAGTTACTATTCTGCGCAGCCTGAGTGGAAGTTATCGGGGCAGGCTGAGTAGTGGTTTGCGTGGTGTCGGGGTCCTCTCCTTTTGCGTTACCGAGAGAGTTACTATTCTGCGCAGCCTGAGTGGAAGTTATCGGGGCAGGCTGAGTAGTGGTTTGCGTGGTAGTCGGATCGTCTCCTTGTGCGTTACCGAGAGAGTTACTATTCTGCGCAGCCTGAGTGGATGTTATCGTGGCGGGCTGAGTAGTGGTTTGCGTGGTAGTCGGATCGTCTCCTTGTGCGTTACCGAGAGAGTTACTATTCTGCGCAGCCTGAGTGGAAGTTATCGGCGCAGGCTGAGTAGTGGTTTGCATGGTGTCGGGGTCGTCTCCTTGTGCCTTACCGAGAGAGTTAATATTCTGCGCAGCCTGAGAGGAAGTTATCGCGGCAGGCTGAGTAGTGGTTTGCATGGTGTCGGGGTCGTCTCCTGGTGCCTTACCGAGAGAGTTACTATTCTGCGCAGCCTGAGTGGAAGTTATCGTGGCAGGCTGAATAGTGGTTTGCATGGTGTCGGGGTCGTCTCCTTGTGCATTACCGAGAGAGTTACTATTCTGCGCAGCCTGAGTGGAAGTTATCGGCGCAGGCTGAGTAGTGGTTTGCATGGTGTCGGGGTCGTCTCCTGGTGCCTTACCGAGAGAGTTACTATTCTGCGCAGCCTGAGTGGAAGTTATTGTGGCAGGCTGAGTAGTGGTTTGCGTGGTGTCGGGGTCGTCTCCTTGTGCATTAAAGAGAGAGTTACTATTCTGCGCAGCCTGAGTGGAAGTTATCGTGGCAGGCTGAGTAGTGGTTTGCATGGTGTCGGGGTCGTCTCCTTGTGCCTTACCGAGAGCGTTACTATTCTCTGTAGCCTGAGAGGTGGCTGGTGTGCTGGAATATGTTGTTGCTGCTGCAGGACGGACGCTTTGTGTGTCATTTAATCCAGATCGAGTCGTTGGCGTGGCTGTAGTTGAGTTCACGTCACAGCTGGTGATGGGAAAGTTGCTGTCATCGTCAGGGATCGTTGTCGTGGATTCATGGAAACGAACTGTCAATCAGAAATATTCAGAGGAGCGTCACTAACCTCCAGTAGGGACATGGTGGGAAGCGACATTCAAGCCCTTCAATATGACCGTCACAACTCCTGAATGTGAGGTCCAAGTGACGCCAGTAACCTTAACTTGGATATTCCAGTGGATCTCGGAAAATATGACATGCAGAGTTGGGGCGAGACAGAGAATACCCTCGCTACCTACTTTATTTTTTTCGAACGTTCGGAGTCTACTTTCAGAACTAGAAGCATGTTAAAGTATCCTAAGCGAACTTGTTTGAGTGGCATTTTAGAAGTTGAGACGTGCAATATGGAACAAGTTTTTATGGATAACAACTTCTTTATTTCGTGAGTGCGACGTTTCGATACAGATTCTTGTACCGTTGTCAAGCAAGAGTGATACATGAAGTGGAGGAGCTGCATATTTATACTGTGTATAACAATGAAACTACATACATTGCAAATGACAAATGAAACAACATAATTGCCATAATTGGTTAAGCAGTAAGCTGATGAAGCCAGTGAGTTCACAAGGGATAGTGAATAGAAGCCAGAGATGTATAAATACAGGGGTGGTACAATAAAGGGGATGTTTATACAATAGGTGCGATGTTTATACAATAGATTGGGCTTGGTGGAGGAGTGGATCATACCCCGTTAAAACTCGTCTACTAGTCTGTTCCCGTGACACTGTGTTCTACAGTACTGCCCAATACCTTACCCAAGTACTCTCCCCGCTAGGTAAATCTGCCAACTCCTTCATCAATGATTCAACTGACTTCTGCTGCAAGATCCGTGACATCACCAACCCAGGTCCCATCATCAGCTACGACGTTGTGGACCTATTCACCAATGTACCTCGGGAAGAAGCCCTTCAAGCACTACGCCACAGAATTGACAACCTCCAACAACCCCTCAACACTAGCCTCTCTACCGACTCTATCATCAGCCTCACCACCGCCTGCATCAACTCCACCTACTTCACCTGGGGCGATGCCATCTATGAGCAAATCCACGGACTTCCCATGGGCTCCCCACTATCCCCCATCCTAACAGAAATTTACATGACCGACCTGGAAGATAAGGCCCTAGAAACTGCACCCTTCAAACCCTCCTGCTGGTACCGCAAAGTTGATGCAGTTGAAGTCATCCTCCAACCTCAGCAAGATCCAAAGCAGCTCCTCGCCCATCTCAACAACCAACATCCCCGCATCAAATTCACCATAGGAACAGAGCAGAACAACCAACTACCTTTCCTTGATGTCCTTGTATCCCGCACCTCCTGCAACCAACTCCAGACCTCCGTGTACAGAAAACCTACCCATACGGATCAATACATCCACTACAACTCCAACCACCCACCTAAAGTCATCTCTACATTGACCAGAAGAGCCAAAAACATCTGCTCAACAAACCTACAAGACGAAATTGAACACCTAAGGAAAGTCTTTGTAGAACGCAACCACTACCCACCTGAAATAGTCAACAGAACCATCGAAGCAACGCTTTCACCTCCTGCCAAAAGATCTAAACCAGAATCAGCTCCCACCAAGATATCCATTCCCTACATAGGTAAACCATCACATCAAATCAGCCGACTCCTGAAACAACAGACAGGCATAGACACACCTGAAATAGTCAACAGAACCATCGAAGCAACGCTTTCACCTCCTGCCAAAAGATCTAAACCAGAATCAGCCCCCATCAAGATATCCATTCCCTACATAGGTAAACCATCACATCAAATCAGCCGACTCCTGAAACAACAGACAGGCAAAGACACAACCTTCTCAGCGTCCTCCAGCCTCAACAACCTCCTCAATGCCAACGGAAGAAAACAACCCACCGTCAACAACAACAACCCGAAATGTGTTATTTATAAAATAAACTGTGATTGTGGACAAAGCTACATAGGTGAAACATCCCGACCAATCAACACCCGAGTCAAAGAACATCGCACCTCTGTTGCTAACTCCGACACCAAATCAGCTATCTCTGACCACATCAAAGCGAACCCCAATCACCAAATAGAATGGTCCGACTTCACCATTCTCGCCAACAACTAAACGGACTTCACTAAACGCAAGCTCACCGAATCCATTCACATCAAACGCCATAAGCCCACCATCAACCGTGACCAAGGAAACTTCATTCCATCAGCTTATGATTCACTCCTCATCCAAGCCCAATCTATTGTATAAACATCGCACCTATTGTATAAACATCCCCTTTATTGTACCACCCCTGTATTTATACATCTCTGGCTTCTATTCACTATCCCTTGTGAACTCACTGGCTTCATCAGCTTACTGCTTAACCAATTATGGCAATTATGTTGTTTCATTTGTCATTTGCAATGTATGTAGTTTCATTGTTATACACAGTATAAATATGCAGCTCCTCCACTTCATGTATCACTCTTGCTTGACAACGGTACAAGAATCTGTATCGAAACGTCGCACTCACGAAATAAAGAAGTTGTTATCCATAAAAACTTGTTCCATATTATCCTAAGAGAGATTGCCTATTTACTGACCACCTTACAGTTTGCTTATCGACAACAGCGGGGAGTTGACAATTCTACAAAAACATTTTAAATCTCATTCCTAACCATCGAGACCGAAGTAGTACCTGTATCAGAATTATGTTTTGAGGAGTTTTAAACACACGGCATAACTCACCACGAACACTACTACACACTCATGAAATATACGAACCAGGCACGAGTATTGACAGTGAACACAATCACCCATTACCCAGTGTAATTTATATTCCTTCTCTTATGAGAAATATCCATCGTCAGCAACTGCCTAATAACGTAGTGCAACAGTCAACCATCATAATCAAATTCGATTGCAACGTCATACGAGCACAGTGGCATACGAATTCATTGTATTGTTCATAACGGATTGATAATAGACGTGAAAACACCCCTACGCCCAAACACAAAGCAGAGTCGCGTCATTTCAATACGTACGTTTAGTTAATGGTATTTATTCTACCCCCATAGCAATACGCATATGTGGTAGCGCCTGGTGTCTTTCATCGTACAATACTCAATAGCTAAAAAGTATTGAAAACGAGAACTCGTAGGATCAGTTTCCTTGAATACCTCTCTGGATTCTTAATACTGACGTACAAAATTGACCTACATAGTGACCTTGACCTACAAGTATAAAATGACATCAATCATGATTGACATAGATAAAGCGACCCACGAGTCCAACGTGACCAATTCATCATTTACTAAAAAAAATTTATGTAAAAGGTCTGTGACCTTCACAGCAATCGTGACCTACATATCAACCATGACACGTAAATCAACCATTACAACCTTGGAGTAAAACCAGCCACGACCTGCTTAGCAAGATTGGTGTACAAGTCTATCATGAACTACATAACAAAATTGGCATGCAAACCATGACTTATACATCAACTCAACTATGACCTACCCAGCAACCATGACGTACCACAGCAGCCACGGTCTAGACAACAACCGTGACTTGTATATATATTAAACATCACTTACACGTGAAGCAGCTCCTGATTCCAACAGCAGCAGACGTATTGGATGTGGATGCCCCACACTGCCATGGGATGCTGGCGAAGTACAGCAAACAATCCGAACTGTCGTATACGAACATCCAACATGGCAGCCCAGTCGTGTATTCGCTGTCGCATCTTTCCTGACATTCTGATTGGTTCTCAACCTTGACAAAGCGCTTGGCTTCAGCTCCGTCGTCACAGTGACCATTGGTCAGGGTGTACCTGCACGGTCCTGGAGAAGCAAGGATGCAGAAACAGTCACGTGTCTTGATAGTATATGACACGTTAAATAGTCACTTTAGACGAGGGCAAAAAGTTCATAACTATATGTGGTTTGTATCTCAGTTGAAAGCAACACTACATTGAAGGCGATTGGTAGGTATACAATAATAATCCTAACTTCATCGATTCTTTGCTTAACAATTAAATGTAAAACAACCAGAAAAAAATATAAAACAAAACAGAAAACAAACTAACAAAAAAAAGCAACCCCCGCCCCCAAAACAAACAAAACAAAACAAAACAAGTGCATACTCGGACGATTCGAAAAGGGAAAATGGTATTATAATTAAATAAACAAACAAAAAAAACCCAAAGAGCAATAATATTACCCGCTGTATTATCGAGCATTAGGCAAACATTATTCCGCTGTCATGAACATAAACCACTCTGTATTTCCTATTTAGTCAATATAATGCCATAAAGTCAATGTTAGCTTATATTGATTATTTGTTGAATAGGTAAATGGATCAGGAAAACTGTTGCAGTGACGGAGGTCAAGGTCGTCATGTTAACACCGGTGAAATGCTGGAACAAAGGGATGTTCCCCACCTGACCACATGGGTATTCGCGCCCCTCCGTAGATGTGTGCGTGCTGAATTCGTACACAATATTATCAAAACTGGAAGACTTAGTATATAGATGCATTTTCTAAAGCAAGTCGACTGGACAGAATGCCACGGTATGTGGAAGTTCACCGGTTTGCCACGCGACGCATCACGTCACATCCGCCACATCGGTAGGGGACCACTTTTCCCCTCCCTGTTCACACTGTTCCCACACATCAGTGAGAGAGTTTCACGCCGGTGTATTTAAATATTCCACAATACGACGACAGGGCAACAGATATGGGCTTCACACATTGTACCAAAGCAGGGGAATCGAGTCCGGGTTTGACGAGCTAACACTTTGACAAGCATTTTACCCACCGCCCTGTTTCTAATTTAGATGACACAAAACTGAATCACTTCACTGTCACGTTGTAAAATGCTAAATAAAACAGGTTTATAGAGTTTAAACACTCAATGTGGAAAGTAAAGAGCAAAATTATAAATGCCTAATTGCAATCACATCATACACAACACGAGGGGCGGTGGGGTAGCCTAATGGTTACAGCGTTCGCTCGTCACGCCGAAGGCCCGGGCTCGATTCCCCACATGGGTACAATGTGTGAAGCCTATTTCTGGTGTCAATATTGATATTGCTGGAATATTGATAAAGCGGCGTAAAAATAAACTAACTCACTCACTCACTCACTCATACACAAAACCAAGGCCAGTCATGCAACGCACAGTGATATATCATGCCTGTGTAGTACATGGAAGGTCTTCAGTTACCTAGAGTCTGGCCGGATGAGGTGTCTGCTGAATGTCTTACCTGTTTTCTCCTCACATACATACTGATGTCGCTCCCGACACATTTCTGGCTCCCACGTGCACGTGTCCCTGCGCGCCACAACGCACAGCTCAGAACCCGATTCCACCCTCCCGGGGGATGTCCAGTGATCAGAGCTCAGCGGTTCACAGTTGGCCCATCGGTATTTGTTATTGGCGGCTGGGGAGTGTAATCCAACCCAGATATCTTTTTTTCTGGGAAACAAAGGCACCATCATCACCAACAACAACACCATCAGCACCACCAACAACAACATCAACACCGACACCACCATCACCATCACCATCATCAACACCACCACCATCAGTTCTATATTACATTTAGAGGAACACTACAAAGATGCAGTCTCGTGGACATAAGTGTAAACGTTATATTTACGGTCATATGGTCGACCTGTTGGCCAGTGAAAAAGGTACTATGGTTTAAATGTCACATGAAGATTTAGAATCTGTAGAAAGTCAAATATGAAGAAAAACGTACACGTTGACCATCCACAAGTCCCCTTCAGAGTATCTGTAGGCTATTAGTGCATCAAATGTGGCATTTCTGTTAAACTTGGCCAACTGGCCTCCTTCGGCCTCACAGATAGCCCGTGCCTCGTTCCATGTCCTGCTGTGCTTGTGGATGGAATACACCTTGCCCGTCAGGCCCCTGGAACGGGCACCTGGTGCTGGACACAACATCCATACAGTTGTCAAACTTTAATTAGACCGAGTTATATCTACATATTATCTGTTCAAACAAGTCACAGAATGCCTTTTAATACTTACTTTAAATGGCAAACCTTTACGGAAACGTTATCAACATTATCAAACACTATCTCACACCTTGCCTACCGCTTTCCTACACCAGCCCGTGTTGGGCACCAAACAAAGTATTTCTAAAAAAAGTGAAAAAGGTCGATTTTACGAGACACGTATGAACATATCCGTAACAGAGCTGATCATGTACTGTATCTTTGTATTCTGCTCAGGTCAAAGACTTGCTCGTGTTCAGATAATCGCTTTGAGAAATCTCTAGAAGCGGGAGTTAGAGCTATTTACTGCCATTATAAATATGGAAGCGTTTTGTTGCTTTCATATACCTACTTAGTTATCGAAGTACAGAAAGAATATTTCTCATTCATATGAACACATCTGACAACTTCCATAGTGAGGTGTGAGCTAAAGTGTTTTGTCTGTGCATGGAAAAAGACAAATAAATCATCATACCCTGACATATGCTAAACATGCGACAGAATCATTTCCACAACCTTAGGAAATCTCCACTGAGAAACCTCCCGTAGTTTCATGTCCGATACTCACTATATCAGAAGCATCATTTACTATCAATTTATCATGATACTAAGATACTAAGGAGAGCGTAACCTGCAAGGCAATTCAACAGTTCACCTTGAAAATCATGAGACCATATTTATGATACAAGACTGACTGACTGAGTTTAGTTTTACGCCGCTTTTAGCAATATTCCAGTAATATCACGGCGGGGGACACCAGAAATGGGCTTAACACATTGTGCCCATGTGGGGAATCGAACCCGGGTCTTCGGCGTGAAGAGCCAACGCTTTAACCACTAGGCTACCCCACCGCCCTATGATACAAGAAAAAAATAGGGCATTTCATGGGGCATCATTCGCTGATGCATCTAATCGATCCATGTGTCTGTAACGAAAGCTTTCCTATGTCCTTGAAGGTTATAACCCTGATCAAAAAATTGTTAAGTCAGAGAGTATAAAGCTCTTTCGAATATTCCTAGAAATTACATAATCGATTGTACCTAAAACATTGAGCAAATAAGAAAATATTTGGTGACTATAAATCTTTATACAGTATATATTTCGTTCCACGTATGAAACAGATGATCATGAATCTCTTTCATTCTTTCTAGCTCAGGTTGGTAAAGCAGCGGACGGGAATAGGATGTTTGACTATTATTGAATCTAGTCATTAAATATACCTTGAGCTTCCGTTAAACGTTTTGGCCATATTTGTTCGTGTTGATGTTGCCAATCCGTGCAGAAATTCCGATAGATATGTATAAAGACACAGATCAGCACCAAAGGTGGACAGTGTGTGTCCATGGGGATGATTTCATCCTGCCTTACGTTCAAACAAATTGACGTAGCGATGCTTTCACAAAATGAAAATATTTTCTTTAAACACAAGCAATGTGGTGTAGGATAACCATACTTTAGATGACAACTGCATAAGACAGTTATGCATATTTGTGTCTCATTTTTCAGTTTAAACTTTCACACACTGACTTACATATAGAACGTTAGTGCTAAAGAAAAAACAGTCTTAACTATCGTCAGAATCAAATTACGTTTGGTGTAAAGGGAAAAGGGTCCGTATGTCCGTTTAGAAGACATCCAGAATGATAACGCTATGACAACACAACTGACAGCAGGCTGCTTAAAATATTTTGGACCATCGGAACAACGAAAGCTGTTATTATCGATAATAGGGAAGTGCTTAGTGATTATATGACCAGCACGTCAGTAGCAGAATGAATAATCTCTAGTCATTTACATCATGTACTTCAAAAAGCAGTGTTTGAGTTTCATGATCATGTTCAGTCGCGAAGTAACAATATCTAAAATTACACTATTTCGTGGAGTACCTATTGTCAGCACTATCACAAGGTATATTGTATCTCAAAGCATCTATATATCGTCATAATCATACACTGTTGTTGGGATTAACCTCAATTTCAGTTAATCGGCAAAGAAACATTGCAGTTTTCAGTTCCAACGACTCACCAGAGAGAACAGCGACTACAGCCAGGAGCAACATACGTCTGTCCACCCGAAGTAGCACCTTGCCAAGAAGCTATTTCAGACGAGGAACTAACTTTACTAGTGCCACATTAAAGATTTCCAATACACGTATTAATGTGAACTAAGACCATGAGAAGGGTCACAATGCCAGTGACTGTAATGCTATGTTTGACAGCGTGCCTCGTGTGTGTAATGTTATACACCGCATTGTATGTCTCTTTGTTTAATAGAATAAGAACGTTTAACCTTCGGGAACCTGCTCTTTGATAGGGATGAAGTTACAAACCTTTTACTATTAACTGTAAATACAAGTGTGTCAGTACAGTCATAGATGTGAAGGTACAGCTTAGCATTCTCATTTACTGATCGATAGAGAATGAAAAAGCAAGTTGGTCCTTTGTATGCATCCATTACAGTTGGGAGTTGAATCAACAGACTAACAGACAGCACATAAAGGTCAACAATGATTGGGATGGCCTGTCCTTGTTTTCGTCCCAATCAATACACGGTGGTATTCTGACACAGTGGTAAAAGCTAAAAACACGTGCCCTTTGTTCCGAACTACAGAAATGAACTTGCTCAGCTGCAGCAGTGATTGTGTCGCAATACAGAACACTAGCTATGATGACTATTGAGGGTCCACCAGCAAACAAACCTGTCACCTGGTGAAAAACTCATATTTTCATAAAACGCTTTGATTCCATACAACGATGAACACATCAATATTTTACGCGTAAGTATGACAATGACCAAAAATAACGTCTTACGAGGCGAATACTTGCTGCCATCTCCGTGAAGATCCGGAGGAACATGGGGGATAGACTCAACAAACCTGGGATGGCATTATATGTCCAGGTTGACGTTATGTGAAGCATAGCCGATGTCTATTCCATCAAAGTGTTTGATTGAGAGCATACGATGGTGGCTCAGAAGATCTGATCCCAAAACCGATGGCCGACGTTTACAGTGTTGCTTATTCCTCTACAGCACCCACTCCCAAGTCTTGATACTAGCTTCATCGGGGTGGTATACACTGTTTCATTACGTCATCATTTGCTTAATACTTGCCAGACAGTTTCGTCTTCAAATGTGGGAAGAGGTGGAAATCTGACGGTGCCGAATCTGGTGAATACGAAGGTTGGTATGCTTTTGAACGACACCTATGCACAGGTACACACCCTGATGGAATAACACACCTTCTGTGAGTTTCCCGATATGCCATGCCCCCATATGCTCACGAAGATTGGCCGTTATTGTTCTTTCCTAAGATAGTCCACAAGTAGGATTCATTTGGAACCATAAACTTGTCAGCTGATAGAGTAGACTTCAGAAAGAGGAGACGTTGCTTGTCTCTTGGGAAACCAAGGCAGCCATTGTCACAAGGTGCTCACCAACAGCAACAATGTCTGGTTCAGAACGATGTCAGTCACGAACCTGGAGTGTTTCTAGGGTCAGAAGGCGTACAACCCGCAATGTTGACACCTTTGTCATGATCAGTTCATTACTCTTGTCTCAATATCAGGACAAATACCCAATGCATTTCTGTAGAACGCATGGTGAGTGGCCGACAAATCATGTCATGCTTTCACCCAGTGTTTTCGGTAGTGGTGGCAATTGATACACTATAACTGTAATATCAACAGACAGGGAAGCTAATGAGTTAATTAATTGAACCTAATCATTGAAGTAAGATGACATTAATGCAAGACAAAAGCTTGTATGACAGAAACAAACACTGCATAGCTGCTGCATGGTTCAAATGAATACATCAACAACTACAACATACAAGGCTACAACGTCACAGGTGACAATTTTTTGTTTATTGCAACTTGTTTATGAGAGCGACGTTTCGGTGCAGATTCCTACACTGTTATCAAGATTTGAATCTACACCAAAACTTCGTTCTAAGTTCTAAACAAGAAGTGATATGTATAAAGTTATAACTTTGTTGTTGACTCAACAACTTCTAGAATGCCTATCAAACAATCATCAACAACTACGTCACCAAGTGTTTGGTCTCACGGAATCATGTCCTCGGAATAAAAACAGTGTGTGTCTTTTACCTCCTAATCATAACAATTAATGTGTTTATGTTTTGTACTTAACGAGAAAATGCATCCTTACGATGTTCAAATATAGGCTGGTAGGTACACGAACTGTATTATTCCGGCTTTGTTCTGCCAATCGATGATCATGGCAGGAGGAAATAATTTACTTTGATTGTCAATACCAAATCCATAATACAAAACTGTTTGTATAATCGCATTGCACGTATCTTCACATAGAATGTTTCATGACTTTATGTTTGTGAAAGAAAGTAAAGAAGGATGATGTTGACCAACAACAAAACCCCAGGCTCATTAGAATCCTACTTCTGTATCTTTGCAACCCAGGGAATGTTCTACTCATCTTTGGTAAGCCACGGCAGAATATACATGTTGTACAATACACGACAAAATAACCAGAACTCTTGCCATAAACATGTGTCAATATTTGGTAAATGCATGCACTGATCAATCACTGCCAGGAAGTGCTGTTATTTGTAGAAGGTGGAGTATCCTGTTAAACCATTTTATACTTGGCAGTAATTGGTGGGATCCATGAACATTTAAGGGGTGTATGCATTGTGTACCCCATTACACGCACGCACGCACGCACGCACTGATTCACGCACACAGACATGCAAATATAACGGTGATTAGTCTACTGATAACTTATGCTTGAATTGCTTCGCTCAATTATCATATAGCACATATATAATATGGCGTATTGCAGCAGCTCCAGCCTTGGGTTTCAACATTGTTTCTGTGTATTCGAGTATTTTCTTTTGAGCAAGATTTCAAAGAGCGTCACAGAAATTGCTCAAATGTTGTAGACACGTGGAGGACATTTCGAGTTTTGACACACGATTGATGCCAGGTCTGATAAATATAAATCCAGTTCAACTCCCAGATATGTCTGTGTGTTTGGGACGAACAACTGACGAATCTTCGCAGGAGCAGGATACGCTTACCTTTTTGCGAACACCAGTTTTCGTTACCATGTTATAGTGATTCATAGACACATGCTGATGATAATAACCGTACTTTCGACTCCGCCTCAGGGGGACAGACTTCCTTTGAATACGGAAAGGGATTTGTCTCTTTAAATAACAATGTGAGCCACTCTGGCATGAGGAATCGGAATCCCTAATGGCATACCAGACGAGAGACTGTCCAAGACCACAAGGTGCCATTAAACCAGCTAAGAACTCTTCGGCCATCAGTATATTGTGTATCATCAACAGCCGCCACCAACACGAGAGCAGGCGGCTAATGGTTTTTCACGTATAACGTATTTAAAACAATTTGTATAACATAGATAACTTGATAATAGTCTGCACATTATTTTATGATATAGACGGAATCGCTTTGCTTTGGAAACGATTTTTAAATAAATGTAAATCACGAACGATGATGCTTACATGGGTTTATTAATGAGTGTGGAGTGAGTGAGTGAGTTAAAATTTAACGTCACGCCTGCAATATTTCAGCCATATAGTGACGAGAATAAATTTAGTATATATGATAAATATCTGTCACGAAGGACAGTAAAACGTTAGCAACGTATCACAGAATGCAAGTATAAAAACTAATCATTTCCAATTCTAAAAATGCAACTCGATGTGACATTTATTAACATTAAAACACGGGCTATGGACCACCAACAACCAAAGCTAGGCCACCTTACTGGGGTTCATGGGGACTTACAGTCCTCCAGCTTCCCGCATGAATCACCAAAGGATTTACACCGTCACTTCAGCCACTGGTAGTTATAAACAATGCTAGCCAGACATTAAAACAATACAACTGAAGCAATAAAATTCCGGTTGTCTGCAATGTACTGTAATACTATTATGCAATCATAAGGGGACAATCTTTTTACGATACTTCAACCCCTATAGAGAGCAATATAATAACAGTTTTTGATTACATCAACCTCAGTTAAAACTACGGAAGCGTAGTAGGGCCACGGTGAAAATATTTTTTGGGGTCACTATCTCCTACGTAGGACTTAATATCTCCTACGTAGGACTTAATATCTCCTACGTAGCACTTAGTATCTCCAGCGTAGGACTTAGTATCTCCAACGTAGGACTTAGTATCCCCTACGTAGGACATACTATCTCCTACGTAGGACTTAATATCTCCTACGTAGGACTTAATATCTCCTACGTAGGACTTAGTATCTCCAGCGTAGGACTTAGTATCTCCAACGTAGGACTTAGTATCCCCTACGTAGGACATACTATCTCCTACGTAGGACTTAGTATCTCCTACGTAGGACTTAGTATCTCCTACGTAGGACTTAGTATCACCAACGTAGGACTTACTATCTCCTACGTAGGACTTACTATCTCCTACGTAGGACTTAATATGGGGTGAGGTTGTGATATGAAACCCGGGTTATAACACGACCTCCGCAAGTTGTTGCTTGTCTTGATTGGGCTAGGTTGGATCGGATGCAACGCTCGTTTGCGGTTTTATTCGTAATTGTTTACAGGTTGACTTGACTGGGGTGGACAAGTGTTGAGTGCGGCGTAAAACAATACGAAATTAAAAAAGGCAAAGAATTGTCATTATAGTTATTTGTATAAATATAAGGGGATACGTACACATAGATTGCCACCGATAGTCGAAGACACGTCTGTACACGCAGATTATGATTCATGTGCAACGACCTCTGAAATATCTAATGCATAATAGTAAAGTGTAACAAAGTGCAACTTATTTACAGTGAACTAACTGCAACGCGTAATAGTAGAGCAAACTGAACGCAAGGCAGTAAAGTATAACAGTCGGTCCAACACAGTACTAATGCGCAACAATTAGTTGAACACATGACTCTAATAGTGAAGGAAACAGTAGACTCTAATAGTAAATTGAAACACATGATAGTAGACGCTAACAGTAAATGAAACACATAACTGTAGACTCTAATAGTGAATGAAACGAATGACTGTAGACTCTTACAGTGACTGAAACAGTAAAACAGGAGATTATGTGCGTGTCTGGGGCTTTAAGTCGACCGTTTCAGATTTATCGATATAAACGTATATCGATCATCCCCTACAGGAAATATTAAGTACTACGTAGGATATACTAAGTCCTACGTAGGAGATACCCACTTAGGAGATACTAACTCCTACGTAGGAGATACTAAGTCCTACATAGGACATACTAAGTCCTACGTAGGAGATACCCACTTAGCGGATACTAACTCCTACGTAGGAGATAGTAAGTCCTACGTAGGAGATACTAAGTCCTACGTAGGAGATATTAAGTCCTACGTAGGAGATAGTAAGACAAAAAATCTTTTTCACCGTTGCCCTACTACCCTTCCGTATAAAACATATCCATTCAAAAACTACTGAACAATCTTATCTCTTTAAACAAACCTGTAATTAAATTAAAAATGATTGTGTTAAAAGACCCTTTAGATGTGAAACTTTGTAATATGTATCCCTTATGAGAGAAAATTCCACACAGTCAAGCAAAACGTGCTTGACCGTGATTGTCTCATCACAAGGGATACAAAACGGAGGATCTTCCCCTTTCAATAAATATTCATTTGTATATCTGCTGTGGCCAATACGACATCGTCGTAATATGACCTCATCAAATCTGCACTGACAGCCCAAGTAGGTGTAACCGATATTTGGTTTTATTGCATGTAATTTATTGATACCTACTTGGGTGTTCCACTGCTTTTGCATGATATCTCTGATATAGCACCTTATGATAGGTTTCATATCGCTGTATGGGATCTGAAGTGGTGTCTCAGATTTGTCGAGTGCTGCTTTGGCAGCTGTATCTGCCATGGTGTTACCATGAATTCCAACATGGCTTGGTATCCAACAGAAGACGATATCATGTTGGCCAGAAACAAGTTCATTATGCAATTCAATAATTGCAGTTAAAAGTGGATGTTCATATGCCATGTTATTTATGGCTTGAAGACACGAAAGAGAATCAGAAAATATTATATACTGGTTAGTCTGTGATTGGCTTTTTTAAATATTTTAAAATGGCATACGCTTCCGCAGTAAAAATGGAACAGTGAGCAGGTATTCTGGATGAGAGAATCCTGGATCCCAATGACAGTGGCACTGGCAACAGCACCGCCATCCTTGGATCCGTCTGTAAATATAGCGTTGTAAGTATCATATGGCTTGCTTAGGTGGTTATATTCTTGCTGATACATAAGTTGATATGTTTCTGATTTTGTTTGTTTAGTTAATGTTAAATCCATTTCTGGTTTTACAAGCTGCCATGGTGGGGAAGACAGAAGTTGAGTAGGGGCTATATTGTCCAGATTAATGTTAGCTGCAGAAACATCACTTTGTATACGTATTCCAAGGGGTGGGACAAGAGAAGGTTTCTTTGTGTACAGTTGTTTATAAAGAGGATGGAAAACACAATCATACGCTGGATTGGATTCCACAGAACGTAATTTAGTAATATACTGCAAAGCTTATTGAATGCGACGTTGTTTAAGTGAGGGCACATCAGCCTCCACATATAAACTATGGATCGGCGAAGTTCTAAATGCTCCAAGGCAAATCCTGATGCCTTGATGATGAATACAGTCTAGTAATTTTAAATTGCGTTTACAAGCCCCACCATAAATGATGGAGCCGTAATCAAGTTTAGATCGGATAAGCGCCCTGTATAGTTGGAGGAGGGTTTTCTGATCTCATCCCCACTCTGCATTGGGAACAACATTTAATATGTCAAGTGCCTTCAGGCATTTAGTTTTTAAGCATTTTATATGAGGTAAAAAGGTCAGATGTTGATAAAAAAAGACACCCAGAAACTTGGCTTCTTTCACAACTTTGATAGGGGTGCCATCTAAATTTAATTCCGGGTCTTTGTGTGGTTTATACTTTCTGCAAAAATGAATACAATTGGTCTTGGATTTCGAGAATTTAAATCCATTTTCAAGACACCATTGGTGGATTTTATTTAAACATAATTTTTTGCAGTTGCCTTTCAATAGTATGCATTTGTTTACCTCGACAAGAAATATTAAAATCATCCACAAAAATCGATCCATCTACAGAATCGCTTAAAACTTTTGAAAGGCTATTTATCTTAATACTGAAAAGTGTCACAGACAAAATACTGCCCTGTGGGACACCCTGATCTTGGTTATATTGATCAGACAGGGTTGAACCCACACGGACTTGGAAGTGTCTGTTTGTTAGAAAGTTGGCAATGAATTGAGGCAAACGGCCTCGTAATCCCATAGTATGCAAGTCTTTTAGAATACCATGTTTCCATGTAGTGCCATATGCTTTTTCTAGATCGAAAGAGATAGAGACCGCATGTTGTTTATTAATGACTCTAAGGGCACTAAATGATCAATAGTACTTCTATTTTTTCGAAAGCCACATTGTATATTCGTAATCAAATTGTTGCTTTCCAAGTACCAAACCAGTCTATTATTGATCATGCGCTCCATCGTTTTGCAAACGCAGCTAGTTAATGATATCGGTCGATAATTTGACGGGTCAGAATGATCTCGTCCAGGTTTGGGTATAGGGACAACAATGGAATTGTGCCAAGATGAAGGAAAGTTACCAGAAATCCAAATCTGATCATATATGTCTAAAAGTGCCTCGAGACATGACTGAGGTAAATGTTTCAGGAGCTGATAATGAATATTATCATCACCTGTTGCAGTATCATAGGCCTGGCCAAAGGCTTTTTGCAGCTCATGAAGTGAAAATATTTCATTGTTACCTTCACCATTGTCCGACTGAAAATTAATATGTTTCTTTTCTTCTCGTTGCTGGTATTTTCGAAATTCTGGAACATAATTAGATGACGAAGAATGTTTGGCGAGTGTTTCAGCCAGCTTATTTGCGATATCAGATTTATTTGTTAGTAAATCATCACCATCCTTAAGGTGGTGTACAGTAGATTTGGAACCTTTTCCTTTAATCTTTTGAACCATATTCCACACCTGGGACATTGGTGTACGGGAATTTCTCCTTGAGAC